AAACAAATATACGCGATTTAAATCCGGAAAAATAGTTTCATTTCCTAATTTAACTAAATTTCACAAAGAGTAGCCTAACATCCAACACCTTTATGTACGTATTATTGTTGTTCTGCTTAATATTTTAACAAGTTGACGCTTGTAGATAACTAAGTAGTAGCAGTTCAATATTACTATTTGCACGACGAGTACGGCGTCTATAAATAGCGGTTCCCACGCTTAAGGTGCATTAACAACCGCTTGCGACTCTGTTCGACTTATGATAATTCGCGCGAAAACAAACATTCAAATGCCATTCAGAACGCATTTACCTTCGTCTCCTACTACATATCGTTTTAATTGCCAAAATAATTTAACACTGATTAGGCCGCAAAATTTTGTGCAAAATGTACCAAGTAGCATCGATTTAACAGTAAATTAGTGTCTTCCAAGTGTTACACACATAAAGGAATCTACGGAAGTTGATCGAAATGGATTCTTTATTTTGATAAACTTCTGTATGTATAGACCTTATGAAAACTTATTACTCTGTGTTGAATTTTATATTATAATATTTTGTCAAAAGATAGACGGTATCCGCTAAAATGCGTAGCCGCCGCCTGCGGTAGCACAAATGAGATTTCCCAAATTAAAACCCCAATACAAGCCAGGATACTGTCTATTTCGGGGCGGTCGCGAGGTGCCAAAACGTTTTAATCTTGTAATAGAGAAGCAGTGATCCAGCTGTCCACGCAAGGATGCGCGGGCGACGCGCGTTTCTTTTTAGAAAGTGGCACGTGTCGGGGTTGTTCACCCTGCGCGATCCGGGTCACGCCGCGCCCGCTCCTCGCCCCGCGCCCTGCGCGCACGCACCGCAGCTAGTACACCACGCCTGAGCCAATACCACACCACTCACTCCATGTATTAGTCCTTGATAAGGGGCCTCCATTGACACCATTACAGTACTGACCAGGCGCCGCATAAGGCGCTCCTTGTCGCTTCACACTTATTAGGACACTTAACAGCATTCGCCTTGGGTGCGGCAACGAATAACTGCATGTCATTGAGGGATGACATAAAGCACAATTATGTGGCCTATCCTTACCCATTACAAATGACAGACGGTGACAATATCAAAAACTATTAATTGTCTTTTATAGGACGGGTTTCACACCGCAAATAGAACGAAGATATTGTCGCCACAGTGATATTGGCAGTGACATGATTCGGTACGGTAATGATTGACCGTGGATTACACCTCACCAATCAATAATGAAGTATGATTCTTATCATTCTCAATATTAAATATGGATTAATCTCTCAAATCATATATGTATGTCTTTTTATCCACTAACAGTCAACAAAACCACACGAACGTCTTTAGTCAAAGATAAAGAACCTACCTATATAATATGTATGTATATAAGGATTTTCCCTATACAATTTAAAAAAACGTCAATTTCTATGTAGCTTCACAATTTAGTCTTTGCTAGTCTCACTAACAACGTTATTACCAGAGATAATTCACCATTTTGGATCTGTTGAATATACATTAGATATTAATTAGAAGCAGTAAAAAATAATAACAAATAAACAAACTTCACGCATTTATTAACATAACTTACAAAATATTTAGAGATTGAGAGCGCTTTTCGCTCACATTTACTAAATATATGTATTATATAAATGTAAAAAAGATATAAGTTAATGCTTATTTTATGTTCAATGTGATGCTCCGTAAATATAATACGTAAAAATGTTACCTGTATACTAATAATACGGTTGATTCCCATGATAATTATTATACACATACCTTATTTATATGTATCTAAACAAAAATAAATAAATTAAAATCTACATGTAGCATACTTACAAAGACTCCTACATGGGAACCTCTATAGCAAAACAACATATCGCACCCCTCATGGAAGAATAGCTTCGACTACTATTGTAGATAGAGTTACAAAAATTGGAGAGGATGTGGATTATATTTTTCTGTATCTAATGGAGCAATAAACGGTTTTGACGTAACTCCAATTATGCCATTCTTCCATGAGGGGTGCGATAATTTGCCTAGTTAACTATTTCTAGCTTACATAAAGTGTTAAAATTTCTAAATAAACAATTTATGAATTCTGTTATTTTTGAAATATTTCTTCCATTGCTACTTAACTTATCCTACAACGATGTAAGGGCAATATAATCTGAAATACCATTTCAACGTTAATAATCATAGATAATACGCCTAAAGGTTACCAGGTCACCCAAATTAGCATTTATGATGCTGTCCATCGGTACAACAAAACTCTTTGCCTGCAGAGAAGTTGGTCGGCGTCCAGTCGCCTCCGCAGTTTTTGATGAAGAGGAACGCCCTCTCGCGGTGAACGTCGCGCTCAACCGCGCCGCAGATAACGGGTCCCGCGCGGGGTAGGTACTTTAAGATCTAGGAAACATTTACAATCGTTAAAAAAGACGCAATGATCATAAGGACGAAAAGTAAAGCTAACAAAAAGTTTTCACATTCTTAACCACGTGACCCGATGACATCTCTTAAATAGATATTACGGGAATTACAGTTTTGATATGCCTTAAATACTGTGTATAAATCTAATACGGATATAATACTTTCTGCACTACAACACTACAATATTAGTGCTTATTAGCAATGTCTCTTTCTCAAGGAAAAACAAGCAGTTCACGATGCTTATTCTTCGTAGATTGAACACTTTTTTAATTCGTTGAGATATAGTCTGCCAAAGATTCATTCACGTGAAATGAGCAGTACATTTTGTTGCAACCAACTATTCGATGTGAAAGTAATTAATTTAGATATTGTTGCAATTACGTCAGTTCTTTCACATGACATGCGTTGCAGCTGTCTGTCTTGAGCTCTTCAAACAAAGCATTCGTAATTTTTCCTTTCCTTTTTCCTCGTAAATTTTCGTTTAAACATTTTTATCAGTATCACATAAATTTACAACAGTAACTTACTCACAAATCTTCTAACTTTGTGATTTTTTTAACCATATTAATCTTACTTGACAGGGGTAGTTGCTACCCATTTCCTGCGTTTGCCCGTATCGACGAGATATATCGACTACGAGAAGTAAACGAGTTTTTCCTATCCGTGACAGACAGTGACTTCACTTTAAAATCGGATTACAAATTGCCTTCCATAGTCGTAACAAGCAGACTAACAATACACTTACCACATCTAAACACTTGCTGATGCAGTGCTTGAACCCGACGGAGCCGCATGGCAGACTTGGCTCTTCGGTCTCGTAGGTAACTACAGGCTCCCCTTTCGGAGGTCCGCGAGGCTTGCTGCGCCGCCCGTCCTTGATGCCCACTTGTTGAGACATGAATACGCCACATTGACATGGTTCTATCTATAAGAAAAACATAAAAATGAAATCTTTATAGATATTTTAACTACTAAACTATCGCTAAGTGGAAACAATAAAGTCAATCAAATTGTAGCTCTTTGTCTTATATTAAGTGTATTTAAAAATACTTTTTGCAAATAATATACTCGGGGAACAATTGTTTGGCTGATGATTAACTCTCATCCATAATCGAACTAATTAACTCACATCCTCGTATTCCACATCATCGTCATCACTTTCGACAGACTTGAGGCTCTCAGATTGGTCGCGCTTCAGCTTCTTTCGCCCCTCTACTGCAGTCACCAGGTACACACAAGCTCCCAGCACCAACCACGCTCGGAAAGCATGCATTTTGATAACTGAAAATCTTACATATGAATGGCAAATTAAAGAAAACAGTGTCGCTGCGTTCATCATTTGTCTGTACTTTTTTTTTGATAGAATAAAAATTCGGAAAGAATTTGCGAGCGATGAAAGCGATTGATTGCTAAATTGCGGAAACGGCCGCGGTTTACCAGTTTAGTTTAAATAATAACGGAAAGCAGTAACCACCTGCTATAATTTTAAAAAGACAACAGTAAAAGTATTGTTATTGGAATACCAAAAAAATATATAAACCGTTCAAAACCGATATGGTTAATCTTAAAATTATAGGCACTCACCGAACAGAAATGTAAAAGTCACGGATTAGATTTTCCTTCCGTGACCGTCCAAATACCTCACTTCATATCTCCGATAACCACTAACGCGTCACGAGTACTCTTAAAATGTGACTAAATAGCACGTGAGAATGGAATATAAGCATCCCTCAGAGAGATCCATTGTGACGTAAATTTAAAGAAATTACCTGCAAAGCTGGCTCAGCACTTTATTTTCGAGCAAAACGTGCGTCCCCGCGACAACCATACGTGATACGATGAAAATTATGTGACTACGCTATCTCTGTTTTACTAGGACGTGCAGTTTTCTAACTTTCCTATATTTCAAATTAGTCAAAATGACATTTAAGCACATTTTCAACCTATTTAAAATTTATGAGTAGCATTCACTGATTTACCGTAACTTTTATTAGACAGAACTTCTGCCAAGAATTTCCTAACTTTACCCTCTGCAAATGGTAAGTAATATACAAATGACATTAAGTACCTTATTCCGCGCGAAAATAACGTGGGGTCAACAAGAAACAATAAAACTGATGAATAGATAATTTTATTTTATAATCTTTCCCTTGTACATTCATCTTATTGTTCTTTATGTTGATTAAAAACCATTCGAATGACGAGGAATACCGTTTATAAGCGACATTACATGGCTTGAATAAATGTTCACCACTAGTTTCATTCTGGCAATCATAACGGTACGGTGTGAAATAGGATTTTTACAATATGAATAAATATTTTATAATTATGAACTTATATACACAGCCTTTCGATTTGTTTATTCGACATTACTCACTATGCAGCTCTACTACGACTACTTTTATATAAAATTATCGAACTCCTTAAATTATTAAAATTGAAAACTAGAAATTCTTAATTCTAATAGATCTCTACGTTCTATGTTACAGATGCTAAAAAGCCAAAATAACTATAAGAAAATATAAGAAAATAAAAGAAAAAATAAAGATCAAGCAGATTTTAATAAAAATGGAGCATGCCTTCAACACTTACAATATAAAAACAATTAATGAAAATATCATAGAAAATTGGGTGCATAATGTACATCAATACATAATGTACAGTACACAATTAAAAACATTGCTGAAAGAGGTAGAAGCCTTTGGATCAGATTTCGTCTTTCACAATCCTTAAACATGTAAGGTAAGATTCATATATAGCTGCTTTGTAAAAAAAAATTCAATCCATTCAGCTCATTCCTCATAAAACAACCATTACCATCCAAGATTTAAAAAATGAGTATTTTGAAAGAATATTATTCTGAGTAACCATAACGTCGAGAATACTTTAAAAATGGCACCTGTGCTTACAAACAAATAGCAACTCAATACAACAAAAATAATATCATAGCTTTACAAATAAATAACTAAAATAACAAGTAGATAATAATTAAATATAAAAATAACATGTTATGCAACAAATACTTATGCACTTAGTTGAGTTAGCTAGTTTTCTGCTTAGCCAGCATTTACGCAATATAATAATGTACAGATAATATTAAAGTCCCTTTTCATTGAATTGGTAAATTGTAAATTTAGTACATTATATAGAGTACATTTTGATATTTTTATAGAATATCATCAGGGTTTTCACACAAATAATTAATCTTTTAAGCTTTTTAGTGATTTATATACATAATTCATTCATAAAAATGTCTTAAAAAAGTGGTTGTATAATTTGACAGTTCCTGGAATACAATTATCATCAGTGTATTTATTATAGGATATTTAGTTATTTATTTTAGACTGGAGTTCATCAGAATTGAGCAGGTAGCAGTCACTCATTGCAGAAAGCAATTAGGAAATAGGAAACTAGATGCTATCAGTCTTAATTACTTATTATTGACTATAAACTTGTACTGTAATGGACTTTTAATGGACAGAATTTCTCAAAATGTTTTAAAGTATGCCAGCTACAAGTACTTAAAAATACAACTGGAAATCTGAATTATGCAAGAAATAGAACAAAATTTATTTAACATCTGGTTCTTAGATATCTGTTTACCTCTTTTTGTTGGCACACCTCAAAGTACAAATCACAGATTTCTTACAACTATTAGATAAATTTAAAATATTTTAACAATAGCTTATCTCTTAGAATTCTATCAAGAGTTTTGATAAATGCAGAAACTGCCTTTAAACTTATACAAGCATTAATAATAATACTTAAAAGAAATATATTAAATAAATAATGTTATGTTTTATCCCTAAGAATCTTTGGCTAACATGAGTTTAGCCTCTCCTTCAAACACAACCTTCTTTTCCTCTTCGACTATGCAGAAGAATTTCACTTTGAGTATCTTTCGCACATCAACTAGCTCCACACTTATAGTCAGTTTTTCGCCAACAAAACATTTATTAGGGAACCTCATTGTTTGAGATACAAGCACTGTTCCTGGCCCAGGCAGGTGTGTGCCTATGAGTCCTGCAACAAGTCCATTCAAAAGAGCACCATGAACAATTGGCCTCTTATTCCCATTATTTTTGTGAAGGTGATTGTGGTCACTTGTCAAGTTTGAGAATGCATCCAGGTCTTTTTGGGTTAATGTTTTTTGTATGCGAATTTTGTCACCAGGTTTGAAGGCTGTAGCACTAAAAGTGCTTGTGTGTATTTTACATATCTTCTGATAGTTTTTATTGTTTACCACTATGTATGGAAATCTGTTTGACAATATTTTGTTCATTTTGGCAGTTTACATGAATATATTCTAACAGTTTATAAAATTTTGAGACTTTCAGTATATGCCACAAATGTCTTGTAAGAAAATGGTAGCCAAATTGGCTAGATTTCCACTTTCAGACATTTTCAGATCTTGCATAATTTGTACAACCTCAGGAATAGTTATTTTACTTTTTGTCTGTTGATTAGATAAGTAGATTAAAGTTGTGATGGTATCTGTTACTATATCAGTATTGTTAATCCTTAGTAAAGCTAGCAGAGGTTTTAATCCTGAGTTCCTTAATATATAGTCAGCGTTCAGTGGATCTGAAATCATATAAGACACATTAAGGTTTTATTCATTTAATATTAAAATACACACTTTCCCTAATCGTTTACAATTATTTAAAAAACACATTATCATGGAGATTTTACCTATACACAAATTGCAGATACCTGCCGTAGCGAAGTGTAGTAACTGTGTATTGGTTTCGTTCTTGATAACATACAGAAATATGTCAAGAACACCGACGTCTCTGATGTAGACGTAGTTTACAGGGTCATAAGCAAAATTGGCCAAATTCGCTAAAACTTGGCATTTAGCATCTGAAAATAAAGAATTTTGTAATTAGAATAAGTACGGGGTCTTGACGAGTTGATTCGAGGTGAAGGCCTCATTTCGTGAAAACTAAATTCAAACAAATTGCTTAATCTAAACAGAGCACTATAGTATATTAATGGGTTTTAAAGTACGGATAAAAATTAATACTTTACTATATAATATATTTATTTCCTTATCAAAAGAATTATGAAAACTAAGGTACGTGCAGAAATAGGCCAGAAACTCACCATACAAAGTAGAGTTCAAATACTCGTCGACTAATAGTGAAAGAAAGTTTTCACGATCAATGCCATTTTCTGGAGTACGTCTCTTAAGCTGGGATTTATTGCTGAACATTGATATAACTTATAAGCATTATTGTTAACAAAAATTGCAAAAAACTCATGCGACATCAAATAATCGCTAATCACAAAAGCAAGGACGCCATTTTTTTTGTTTAGTAAGTTTGTAGTGGGCACTATCGTTTCGTACTATGTAAGGTCGTAATATTTTACTCCCACTCATGTTGCTGTATAAAATATTTAACTTATTTTACGTATGTTTCCATTACGACCGTTAAGTTAATGTATATAGAATTGTTTATTCGTTTAAAAACGCTGTCAAACTAAAACAATGAACTATTAAATTAAAATCTTTTGCTGTAACGAAACGAACATAGCCTGGTGGTTGACAGTAGCATAACAGCTTATGGTGATTCTACTATATCTTTCTAATTTGTGATTGTAACTAGACCATCACCAAACTAGCCAAAGTTAAATATGATAGAGATAGAAATAAGAGGTGGTGGTATATAGTAAAATGTTTACATTTTGTTTTGTGCCACAAAAAAAAGCGATAGTGACATTTATATAAAAAAATTGTCTTGGTCCAGCTGTCCAACTGCTGTTATTATTAGAATAATGAAAATTTGTGATTAATTCACGTTAATAGATTTATTTTCATTGTTATTAACAAAATGAGTACTATCCCGCAAATTACCGGTAAGTGGTTTAGCCGAATAATTTTTGTTATTATTTATATTGATAGGTGTCGCAGTGGCTGGATGAGGTTATCTGATAGTTCACTTTTCATAATTGTATGGAATTGTAATGGAATGTTTATAATACAGGTCTCACCAATAAGAGTATTTTCTTGGTTGAGTTCAAAGAATCATACGCAGAGAAGACGTTAAGAGATGACACGACTCCGAATATTCGCGGCATCGTGCATAGCCCCAAGGGGAACTATCTGGCGTACAGAACTGACAGGAAGTAAGTGTCCCTGCATTTCATTCACGACTGTGATTCGTCTAAAGTCGAAAGGGCAACCAGAAGCACATTTCTAGCAATATCTGGCTGGTACATATGGACATATCACATCACAATCTTTGTCAAGAAATGTTTTTTTTAATTGTTAGTTATCATTCAAGTGTATATATTATAAAGCCCTTGGAGCACTGTATCAATCCCTATCGACACCAGCAATTAATGGATTCACGATACTTGCTACCATTGGATCGGCTTGAGCTTGTTAGAAAAAGCTGTAATCAATGCAGTAAGGGTGAAAAAACACCCCGACCGCCAACGTCTTTTTCGCTCTTACTGGTACTTGGTGCAACGGGCTGGTGTCCACAACTCGTCATCAAGGCACCTAGTTTGCATGTGGTGGGTGCAGGGTCCTACTCGTGCTTCCTAAGCTCCTCCAGGAATCTCAGCAACCTCCTCAGTTTGATGAAGATTTCGGGGAACTACCTCGGCTCTCCAAGTTTTTTCACCCTGTAGTTGGCCGCGCCAGAGCACTGTAGTAGGATGTGCGCAGCTGTTTCTTCCACCTCCGTGTATGCTCTGCATAGTGTTTATTGTATGGACCATGACCTGTTAGGTTAGGTTAGATTGTCCCTACCTACAGACCCGAGAGATAGGGTTTTCTGGAGAGACTATGTGCTTGATGGCAAGACCAGTGTACAGGAGGCGTCTGGGCCAAGCCCTCCGCCTGTGATATGCCATATGCCCATATGCCTATGGGCGTCTCTGGAGGACCCGGACTTGGGTATGGACTCAGTGGGGTTTGTGGCTAGCTGGAAAGATGGACATGTTTGTCTGCCCCGGTTTTGCATGTTTCCAGGGCACCTGTCTCGTCAGCAGCTAGCGCATCTTAGTAGCGGTCTAGTTGAGGGTCTGAAGCGAGGAGACGCACGGGGCACGTCAGTTGCACGTTAGGTTGGAAGCTATGTCTGGACATTGTCGCAGGACACTATGACTGGCATCTCCGGCACTAGCCCGAAGAGTTAGTAGAGGATAAGCTAGATATCCTCCGGTCCCTCCAGCCACTTAGGTTATTGGGAACTGGAGAAACGTCGTTTTTCGGCGTCGGGAATTGAGCGTGCCTTACGGCTCCGCCTCCAATGAGGAAATTTGGTAATGGACACAGAGTCAACGGCTTAGCAGTGGCAACTGCTACTCGTGCAATGCGCAACGGGCAGTGAGCGTGCCTACAGCTCCGATATCTATCTGGAATATGGAAAGGGTACTGTATGTGCACCTAGGGCGGCTCACCCGAGGCACTAGCCTTTTGAAGAACTGGATGAAGTCAATTGGCAGAGGTCTGTAACAACCCTTTACACTGGCTGATCTCAGGTCAGAACCTGAATTTATAAGGTTCCTGTGCACGCACAGATTATAATGCCCTTCTCGGATGCCCTACGGGTAGATAGGGAGGGTCACTATAATCAAAACTAATGTCGAAAGATCATTGGTAGGGGAGGGACACCTCGGGTTCTGGTCCTACAGCGTCTGTCTTCTACTCTTTTCTGGATAGTTCCACTGCTGCGTCATTGCCACCTATAATCCTTTAATCCACTGTAGAGTTATGTGGCTGTGTATACATACCTCCACAAGTGCTTGATGGCATTCATAAATGAGCCCTGAGTTTATGTCATAGCTGTTTAGTGCTTGCAGTACTGACATACTGTCAGAGAGTATTCAAATTGAGTGGTTCTTTACTCTTCTCGCTATGATTGCTTCTGCTGCCAATTTGATACCCATACATTCAGCCTGGAATACTGTGTTGTGGTCACCAAGCAGATTGATATCCTGATGTTGAGGTCTTCTGAGAATACCCCGGTACCTGTTCCTGAATTTGTTTTTGATCCATCATTGAAGATGCGGACCCCCTGGGTTTTAGTCCTTTGTTGGGATCTTTAAACAATTGTATCTTGTATTTTTTGTCAAAAATGTATTGTTTAGGGATCTTATCCATAGCCGCCTCCAGCAGCGGTTCCTCTTTCTACACAACATTATTCATACAACAGTCTTATAAAGGATTTCTGTGTGTGGGGTCCTCATGTGCTTCCAAAGGCCTGCTCTGTTTAGACGCACTGCTGTTGATGCCGCTTCCTGTTTAATGAACAGTAGGAGGCGTCGCAGGTCCAGCATCGCTTCGAGGGCCGCAGTTGGAGTTGTCCTCATGCAGCCAGTCATCGCCATGCAGGCTAGTCTTTGGAATTTGTCCAGCTTGTCGGTTGCGGTCGTCAGTTTGGTTCGTGGCTACCATACTATCGCGCCGTAACTGATCATGGATCTTATCACCGCTGTATAGCGCCATAGTGTTATCTTGGGTGAAAGTCCCCATTGTTTACCTACCATCCTATGGCACTGCTAGAAGGTGATAGTAGCTTTTTAAATTTTATTGTCCAGGTGCTTGTTCGAGTTCAACTTGTTGTCCAGTATTACTCCCAGGTACTTGACTTCGGTTGATAACTGTAGTTTTGTGAACTACTACCCAAACTCTTCAGAGAGTTTGGGCAGTAGTTCTGTCTTTGTTGTATTTAATGATAATTCTGCACCATCTTTCCACAATTTGGAGTGCTGCCTGTGTAATATCGCAAAGTGTATTGGCATAGTTTCCTGTTATCGGTATAGTTCGGTCATCAGCATAGCCTGCTGTATAGAAATGTTCTTTGTTCAGTTTGGTGATGAGATAATTTACGACCATGTTCCATAGCAGAGGCGACAGTACTCCTCCTTGAGGGCACCCCTTCGCTACTACGGCCCACGGACTGTCGTTTGCTGTTGTTCTCAGTGTTCTTTGTTTAAACATGTTGCTAATCCAGCTGGTCAGTACTTCATCCACTTCGTGTCTTCTTAGTGCTGATTGTATGCTGGAGAAGTTGGTTTCATCGAAGGCTCTTTCAATATCTATAAAAGTGCCTAGCCAGATTGCTTTGTTTTTGAGGGCCTCTTCTATCTTGCCGACAACGGCATGTAGCGCCGTTTCGCGCTTATTACATGGATATAAAACTTTTTCTGACTTGCTTAATATGATTAAGTGTCGATAAGTATGTCGACTCTCTAACACTACGCTAATTTAAAAATTGCAACTATTCAATTGTGGTAACATTTCGATTTTCAAACATAATTAGGCATTTTCTACATTTTGTATTATTTTCTTAATTTTGAATTTAATTTAAGCTGAATAATTTGGCATTAAAAATGCAAAATTGGCAAAATTCAATTGAGCGTAATATTCGTTGCTGGTGTCGATATATGTTCAAAATATCAATCAGGAATGAATTCACAAATATTAGTAATCATCAATTTCAGAGTGGATGTCTTAAAATGTACGGACTGGTCTGTGTCGGTGACTATAGATGGAAACATCAAAGACATGTTCTTTTCTCCACTTGACAATTACTTCATGGTGTGGGAGATGTTTGTGTTAACTAAGGATAATCCACAGGTAAAGTATGCCTGTAATAAAAAGGTCTGATCATATTTCAGCTGGTGATCATTCACTGATAACTTTAATTTAATTACCAAGAATTTGTAAATGTATTTTTTTAAGTATTAACATTTGTTTGTGCTAATTTAAAATTATTTTTATATTGATATTATGAGTTTAATTTGAACACCTGCTGAAATTTTGAATAATATATTTCTTTGTGATGCTCACTTGATAAAGATATAACAAGAAAGGATTTTGGATTGTTGCGATGTAGGCACTCAAGGTTCGCCCCTTCTGAAGTTGCAACACAGACATTGGTTTTACATTATAATTGCAATATTGCCCAATTTATGTAGGTGGTCTGCCCACAGACCTTTTCCATTGTTTAAACATTCTTTAATTGCACAGGCTGTTCTGTTCGTGTTATAGTCAGAAAATTCTGTTGACCTGAAGATTCTGTTGTACCTGCTCCATTTACAATTGAGTGTCAAAAACTAATGTCTTCAAATCCACAAATTCTGTTATTGTAATGTTGCAGGGCAAACCAAATGTACATGTGTACAAATCCACAACAGGAGAAAAAGTTGGCTCATTTGTGCAAAAAAATCAAACTGGATGGTAAGTTACTATAGGTATAAAATATGTATAGGTATAAAAGTATTGACTGGACAGAAATATTCAGTCAATACTTTTATACCTATAGAAAAATGGCGCACTATTAAAGTGTAATTATAATAATTCTAGGACACTGAAGAGTTTATACAGCAGTTATGGACCCAATTGTTTCTGTCTTTAGCTTGAGTCTGTTCACAGACCATTACTAAAGCTATTAACCAAGTAAGATAAACATGTACGCATAAAATGTTCAAGGGGAAATATGATATGACCAATTTTCGTTCTAGGTAATACATTTTGCGTCAAAGTCAAACTATACGTCTTATTTTCTTATTGGCAGGGAACCAAAATGGTCGTCAGATGAAAGGCTGTTCTGTCTACTTGTAAGTGGCGGCATTCAGATATACGAAAATGGCAAGCTGGACAGATACGTCAAACAGGTGCAAATGGAGAAGCTCAAATCCTTCAGTGTCTCACCCAGTCCAGCGCCTAATTATTACCTGTCTATTTTTACTTTGGGTAAGTAAATATTGCGTTGCATATTTTATGTCTCTTCCTTTTTAAACACATGAAGTAGGTATTAAGTAATATTCCAGTAAGTAAATATTTCAAGAAACAAATCCATATAAACTATTTCATTGATTTGTAAATGACTTATCATTTAACCTAAATAGCCATTGTACAATACATTTATTTATTTATTTCGTACATACAGCTATTTTTACAGTATCGTCCCAATACAATAGTGTAGCCTGTGTATATCCAAGAAAATATAATAATAATACTGATTCATAATAAATGAGTAATTATTAGCCACTTCTATTCAATAATAATAACAAAGAATAACAATAATTAATTATTACATACATACTACAAAAAGTGTTTCCTTTACGAATTCACTCTCAAAACAAGTAAAAATGTCTTAACATCTAAAACATTGAAGAAATAAGAAAACCTGTTATTTTTTCCAGGCAAGTCTGGACAACCGTCATTCTGGCGTGTATATAAATACCCAAACTTCGAAGAGGGCACGGCAGTAGTGAGCCGCTCTACCTTCCAGGCTGATAAGGCGACCTTCCACTGGAACAGACGGGGTACAAATGTCTTTACGCTCACACAAACTGACGTAAGTAGTTTATTAGGGCCTTTTGCACACGGCGTATTTTATACGCGCGTCATCTGCGCATACGGGGTGTAATCGTTAAGTGTGCCCAGAGGATTATAAAAAAAATATCAGTTTTATTCATTTTTATGGACAACTCACACTTGACCAAATAATTGGCTATGCCATTATATTTTTATTAAGTTACAAGATAGTTTTATTACTTTCAGCAGTTTTGTTATGTGTAAAGTTATTGTTACCTCTTAAAATAGGTCAACTAAAGCTTCTCTATGAATGTCATTAAATGTATGGGAGCGTTTAATATTACAGTTTTGCATATTTCCTGTATTATTTAAAAAAAGTTATTGATATCGATTTACTCATTGGGTAACTTACTTTCTATATCAGTTTAAAGCTTTTTGATATCTCTTATATTTATTATTTACACTTAATTATTACATCCTGTATACGCGCCGCAGACGTGCTGTTGTGAATCAATTCAAACGCACGCAAAGATCGCGTTGCAAGCAAGAGGCTTATATAGCATTTCATGAAGTAGCTTCATTTAAAAAAATAACTGAAATTAACAAACAAAACTAAAATTAAAACTATATCTGCGGCGCGTATATGCGCAGATGTCGCACGTTTACGCGCTGATGTCGCGTGTTTACGGCGTGTATAAAATACGCCGTATGCATAGGCTCTTGAATTCAGGTTTTGCAGAGTGAGGAGGTAAAACTTATGGAGGTTAATATTCGCCAAATAATACTTTAAACAGATAAATTTCATCGTGGTTGTATGCTGTGACATAGAGAAATGAAAACTTGTAAACTTGTCAATGACTTCCTCGCCATAACTAAGGTGTCTATTCCGGAATTATAATAATGGAATAGCAGAACTTTTTGGGAAAAAGTGTTTTCGCGAATTTTCAAAGACAAAGGCTGTAGAATAAAAGTTTTTGTATATGATGCCAGGTGAAGGGACGAACAAGTCGTGCGCGTGGTGGTAAGTGACACGCCTATTCATAACAGTTGCAGTGCCACTCAGAGCTTTAAATCGCAAATATCAGACGGGCACTGCCACTGCGCCCGTTACCCTGAGACATAAGTTGACAAGTCCCATGTGCCTGTAATGTCACCAGCACCCTTACCTTTTGAAACCGGAACACAGCAATGCTCACAGTAATGCTTGGCGGCAGAAATAGGTAAGATGGCAGTACTTCAATGGACGAACTCTTTCACAAGGACTTTACTGCTACTAAAAAGTAGTTTAATAAAAGTTGTTTCATTTTAAGTACACAATGATCTTTTCAAGTTTTAACACTTGCCTATGAAGTTTAAAAACGAAATAATAACAGTTTTGGCTTAAAGTTGTGTTGTTATTATAAACTGTCTACTACACTTCAGAATGCATGATTTCAGGTGGACAAAACCGGCGGTTCATACTACGGCAAACAGTCTCTCTCGTATGGCGACGTTAAAGGCACTTCAGGCAATATGATGTTTAGCAAAGAAGGACCGATTCACGCGATTGCCTGGAATCCGGGCAATTCAAACGAATGGGTTGCAGTGTACGGCCACGCGCCGGCTAAAGCAACCATATTTAATGCTAAATGTGAATCTTTGTTCGAATTTGGAACCGGTGCTTGGAATTCCATTTACTTCCCTCCCGACGGCATTGATATCCTTTTCAATAATTGTTCTGGCTCTGTTTTTTTCCTAGATGGAGTCAAATGACAGTTTATTGCGCAAAAGTGTTGAACGCATACAAGCATTTATTGATTGGAATCGATAAATAATCTATCAACTATCGATAAAATATTCGATACACTTACACAATAAATAGCCAGAGTTGTTTAATTTGCAGATATATAAATTATTATTATTAGTACAGTAAAATGTCCATATAGATGTAAATTCCATCCAGGCTCACACACTTTCATCTAAATAAATTTAATACAAAAATTAAGCAGTTTGATAACCTACTTATAACAACGAAATGAAAGCTGTACTTACTCCAACAAATATAACCCAGAAAAATCGGCTTTTCATTAGAGCTCAAATTCAATATTACACGACATAAAAAGGTAACGAGAATATACCTATTTCAAGTATCTATATATTATAAATAAACATATTCGGATTGTGGATGTTTTTGTCGCTGCTTGCATCTACTGCGTCGTGCGTACGCAGATGTTTTATCTGTAATCTACAATGGGGCAATAATTAGCGTTAGAATAACTGCATCTGTACTTCACAAATTTATTCGACACCAATGGGTCAACTGTCAAAATGAGAATGAAGAAGGGTATGCCGCAACTATTAATGGTTTGAACATTATTCTCTATTCATATATTTTTTGCAAAATTTGTATTTTTTACATTCTATCTAAAAAACTCACGAGAAGAACTACATGAAAATTTAAGTTTTTGCGAAAACTGGCAGCCCTGAGAACGTCATATTACTTCCGTCTTCAAAAAAGACTTACTATAAAACATGCAAAAATATTTAAGGTTTTTTGATGTCTAAATGTCATCTTACTCAAACTGGTGGCGATTGCAGCTGTATTTTAACATTAAATAGGCAGTAATGAATGCCACTGCCAAGTACTAAACAATTCATGAACCACCTTAACCACCATGCACTAGTCTTACTAGGCGGTTTTGGCAATATAGCGACCGGGCACATCGAGACGTGGGACCTGCGAGGATACAAGAAACTGGGTGCCTGTGCAGCCCCTGATACTACTTACCTGCAATGGGACCCAAGGGGAGAGACCTTCATTACTGCTACTACGTATCCAAGACTTACAGTTGGCAATGGGTTAGACATACATAATTTTTTTGCTACTGTTTTGTTTCCATAATTCTGTGGGTGAGAAGTAAAGGACCTTAAGTCGATATTTTGGAAATTATTAATAATAATGCACACATTGAACATAGCCCCACACTAAGGAAACCCTGTGTCGCGGGTGCCATGGGCACACACATAGACAACCACTACTACATAAATGTAGGCCATACAAATATTTCTACCGGCCCGGAAATCGAACCTGGAACCTCAGCGTAGCAGTCATGTTACCCGTTCGGCCACGGAGGCAGTTAAATTAAATGTTTTGCAAGCATTGCCTTACAATGATAAAAATCACGCAATGGTAATAGTAATTTATGTAATCGTTGCATGAGGGTTCTTAAAGGCGAGTGCCGTGTTTAGGCCACGAGACTTTGCCGAGTGGCCTAAGTAATAGCTACGAGATTTTAGAACCTAATTAAATAATTATTGCATTTTTTCTACGAAAAATGTAAGAAATGTAATCTGGCAACACTACACAATATTCATTCGCATCATTGTCATATTGTATGCAAAACTACAAAACAGCAGAATAATAGGTTTTCTGACAACACATTACAGTAACAATTGTTTTCAACAACAGCACAACTCATTATTGACAAACAGCCGTTTTTGCCATGTCTACCCCTCAATTACAGAATTAAACAAGAAACCTTTACATCATGTACCACAGCTGTTTTCCCACTTGAACAAACTCAAATCCCTTTTTTACCGAACATTATAACTAAAAAATCAAATTTACTCAATATTTTACTTCACAGTAATTTATGATATTTATACCTAGTTGATAATTTAATTATAATGAACCTTTTTTTAGGTACAAAATTTGGCACTACACCGGCGCTTTAATGTACAAACGGCAATACGAGGACAGAGATCAGCTGTTAGCAATATGCTGGAGACCCGGTACATATCCCAAGAGCGAGTTGTCTAAAACAGCACCAAAGGCCATAGAAGACACGGCGCCAAAGGCCGTAGGAGCGTACAGGCCGCCCGGAGCGAGGAATAAGCCTTCCACTTTCACTTTACATGAGCATGAAAAACCGCATAGGCCAGGCGAAAATGCTAGTAGTAAGTCATTCGTCTTTGCGTTCGAGGATATAATAGCACGATGAATAACATAACTACTTCTGTATTATATAGATTATTTATCAAATAGCGCATTTTGACTTCAGCACAACCATCAAAGCAAGCAATCAAACAGAAAGAGAAGCGGGAGGCTCGAAAGGCGCGGAAAGCGGAGGAGCGAGCGAAGGGAGATACGTCTCCCGCGCCCCCCGACGCCGTCACCCCGCGGGCGCCCTTTGTCTCGACCGGTGACCCGGAGAAAGACAAGAAAATTAAAAATATTAATAAGGTATTGTAAAATGTAATTCGGACAAATACATCTTTATGTCGAAGTTTTTCAAAATTAACTATTCTACGCTGTCCCGGAACTACCGCTGGCTTTGATGTGCCCATTGGTAATTTGAAAGCAAAAAAGCTCAGTACTTCAATTTGCACCTTGAGTCACCTAATAAAAATAATATAAAAAAAGTAAAATGTCTTTAAAAAAAACTATGCATAAAGTTGTTAATCTGGAGCTGATCCATTACAGCTCGAATGGCAGACACCATATATCTCCCCTGAAAAATTCACTTGGTCCAAGCAGTAGTATCAACTGGCACAAAAGGTCACACCAAGAAACTATTCAAATAAAAAAAACAGTAAATTCGCTGAAAACAATATGTCTAAGTTGGTAACAATCACATTATAATTTGTGAAAAGCTAATGTGTAATTTAATTTACAATTTTGTGTAATTTATTTCAGAAACTTAGCGACATAGATAAACTTAAACAGCAAAAAGCAGCGGGCAAACAACTGGAACTGAACCAACAAGCGAAAATCGCCAATGAGCAAGCATTGCTTCTGGAGCTAGAGCAACTCAAGTTATGATGGCCAACGTGAGGCACAGTTTCTTACATCAAATTTATTTTAGGATTTTTGACAACAACGACGTGTTATGTGAAGGTTCACTGTTGACATGAGGCTTTAGGGAGTGTGTCACAATCAGTGGCTTCTATCTTATGAAAAAAAATTGTACTTGGCGCCGATATGTGAACCAGACTTATATTTCATAAGAAACTGAATGTATGCAATGCTTTTGAAATCATTAGCTATGGTTATCGATTGATGGTTGTGTTTATACATAACTATGAAATTTGAATTTTTAATGATAATTTTACCATATTATATATTTTCGAAACTTGGAATTCAAAGGAATTTTAAGAAAGTTGACGGTTGCATTGTTAATCTATTTCATTGTACTGTATAAATACTACACTTTTTCTGAAGCCGGCATAAACACCGCGTAGTCCAGTTTTAAAGGTCTTGTTAAAAATAAAGAAAAAAACGTTGAAGTTGAAATTTGAGTTGGAAAAGTTTGAGTAAAAACTATTTTTTTTATGATAGTAAGTGCAATATCAGCATAGCAGATAGCAACTCACACTGGCGCAGAGTCGAAGCGTCGCGACGCGTCATGTTTTCGCCTATACTATGTTCATTTCTATTTTCCCATTATTAAGGTACAAATTTGTGTTATGCAAATATGGAAACGGGTGACGACGCGCGTCCACGTTTGGATGCAGTCGAAACGGCTTCACGCATTACTTGAGCGCAGTGAGGCGTCAGACGCCCGCCACATTGTGATCCGGGCGCACTAATGCGAGCGTTGTCGCCAAGCGTTATAGTTGAATAACAGGACGCGACGCGCGACGCGACGCTTCAACTCTGCGCGAGTGTGAGTTGAGCCTTAGGTTAACTTAACTTCTACTATAAAGTAATTAACTACAGTTGAAAATACACAAAGACATTCTATATTTGAATTATATAAGAGCGAGAAAAATATGTCAAATAATGTGTTGAGTTTATACACTGACAAACAATGTTCAAGTTACGTAAATTCGAATAGCTCCAAGGCTTGAATTTTCGTAAATAGTACTCAAAGTAGGTATTGGAATGACAATTAGTTTCTAGAAATATGATAATCTCATGTGTCGGAAATGTAGCAATAGCAGTAGAGCTCCTTAAGAAAGGGTTTACCTGTTTCTGCCGCTAAGTAATTATGTAAGCATTACTGCGTTCCGGTTTTGGGACTTGTCAAATTCAGTGTGACGAGCGCAGTGGTAGTACCCCTCGGATCTTTACCATTTAAAGCTCTGAATGACACTGCAACTGTTATGGATTCCGTCGCTTTGATATCATAAGAAAGTATTTTAGAGATATAGTTTTAAATAATTAATAAACTCAGGCGTTACTTTATGGAAATACATGTTAATAAGAATAGAAGTAAATTACTTCTAGGCGAACCCACTGAAAGTTGAATCATGCGCTTGTGTTGAATTTTTTCATGCATTGCTGTTCAAATCAAGCGCAGCTACTTTGCACGGTTCAACCTTCACTAGTTTCTCGGAGTAGCAAAGTAATTTACTTAAATTTTTATTAGATTTTATTTCTTACTTATTTCTCGTTACGGCTAAAGTTTGTTGTAAGGGGTTCTTCCTTTTAATTTTGCATTTATAACATTAGGGCCCATATTCACCGATAGGTATCTATAAAAGTCGATGAAATGGGCCCTAATATATGTGGGTGAGAGGTAAAGGACCCTAAGTCCATATTTTGAAATTTATATTTACGAACATTACTTTAGAATGCTAAATATCACGCAATTGTAACATTAACTCCTATCGTCGTTCGTTTTTCATACAATATTTAGAAGCGCACCTGCACCGCCAAAGTCGCACCACGCGCTCGCCACTTTTGCAGACTAGAGCCTCATTCTTTTTAACACACTCTATGTTAAAAAAAAATATCACTTAATGTTTTTTACCTCTCACCTACAGATATATTGTTGTGCCGTTTGCTCTTGTGATGAGTGTAAGTTTTAACTTTGAATGTGTTAACATACTAACGAACCATAGGAACTTATCAATCGAAAGGATCGGTACACGGTCATGCAATGTCCACTGAATACCACATCCTTTCGTCTATTGCTATGTATAAATAAGTGTGTACTACTTTTTTTTATAACTTATAAAATAATCTTATTGCGTGATACAGTAGCCTTAATAAACGTCATTAAATGACAATCAAAATACAAAATATCAAATTTATCACTGTTTACAAATTAAGATTCTGCGTAACTGAAGCGAATAGGTTTCTCCGCTGTTTCAGAAAAATTCTTATAATCACAAAACGAATAACATAACTTTTAGGGTGAAGCCAGACGAGCGTAACTCTTTTTGAGTCTCATAATTTAGGTTCGACTGAAATTTGGTAGGAGCGCTGGACGAACGTATTTCAGTTGCTTTTAAGCGTTTGTAATTTCAATTCATTCTCACTCACGCATCTATACATTTTTAGATTTATAACTTGTATTGCAAAGGGTAGCTGATTAAAAAGTTTTAATAAAATGAAAATGTTTTCTTAGTATATCGTCAATTCGAAACTACTTTGTTTTGCATTGAGCTTTGACGCGAGTTTGCCGGAGGTAGAAGTTGTGCTGGACAGCAATCCTATAAGTGACGATGTATTAGATTTCATTTTATTAAATTTCTAATTTCGATAAACAAATGCTGAAGTGTGTCGTAAATTTATATATCCATAAATTTTACCACACATCACTACTGACAACAATGTACACCAATTAGTTCCTTCAACGTAGTTATATTACGATACGTCAAAACGGCTATCATAGCGTGCCGGCTTTGTGTAATGGGTTTATTAAACATAAAGTGCATTTATGAATAATGTTAGAAAAAGAAAAAGTCGCTGAGTAAATTCACTCAATATAAAGTGTGCACAGTTTCATAAATGACAGTTTACGTGAACATCTAGATTTGTAAGATATTACATGCCAACAAATGGTGCCCCTTACCTTTCTTCTGTCACACCTCACCCTACCCGCACAAACACGTCACAGAGTACGACTGAAGTTCGGTCATAATTACGCGCGTGAGTCTGCAGACAACTCATTTTGTTCTACTCGTTTTCCAACAATTTTCACTCCGTCGTATGGCGCAAACCGGATTTTAATATAAAACCGAATGCAGCGTAAATTACACGACTCGCAACTCACAGGATACGCTCGTCTGACCTCACCCTTACACTTTGACATTTATGAGATGTAGTTGAATTATAAAAAAGAATAAGGAATAAAACATCTGCCATTTTTGTGAAATAACTGACGTATTCGAATTAATGACCCTATTTTTACACTGATCGTTAAACTAAATTAAAGGAAAATTGTAAATAAAATTATTCTAACGGAGTTTTAATAAAGACAAAACAATAGAAACGTATTGAGTATTTCTTCTGATACCCTCAATAAACATAAACAATAGGCAATCGGGCAATAATCAGATAAAAATTTAGTACGTAGTTAGAATGAACGTTTGTGTATAAAAACGTTCATTCTTTCAATATTTTTGTGAAATAATAATTGTTGGTATTTTGTAATATTTTGAATCTGGATACAAATACCAAACACCACGTGGCGTCATACGTAGGTGAGCAAAGAAACTTCGCCTTATTCACCGTTCGCATATTACTACACTTTGTTTACCTACCAAGATGTTACGCGTGGTATGTCAAAAGAAGTAACGCCTGCTGTCCCGATTTTTTCTTTCAATACAATGAAAAAACATAAAGAAAATCAATTTTATTCATTTTCATGAACCACTCACGCTTGACCAAAAAATTTACAATGCCCAAATTGTTTTCACAAAAAAGACTTAATGGTTCCTAAATCAGTTTTACTGTAGTTTCGGATTTCCCCATATTGCCCCAGTTAAAAAAAATACACTGTATATCCATTATGGTTAATTTTAAATAGTTTCAGAAAAATAAAGTTATTCATTTTCCTATTATACATAACGGACTAACTCACTTTTACATTTATTACTGAAACACTCATTCGTAATATTGTATGACATTACACATATATTCCAAATTCATTTCTACCCTCAGATCTAAACGCTGCAATCCAAATAAAAAAAAATTAACAAACCTGAGATAATATTATTTTTCCTACCCACTCTAACCCACAGACACCAATTCACCACTAGAATTTAACAAGTGTTGAGGAAAGTTTTATTTACACTGATAAGATATTGACAGATATTGATACGCGCAACCGCTGCCGCCTGCGCGGGCGCCGACTGTGTACATTCGATAACATGGTGTTTATTTATTAACATAATTTGAACAAAATCTAGTAAGTTCCATGTGTAGAGTCCTGCAGGACGCACGTATCCTTCGCTTAAAATCTAACAATAAAAACAATATGAATAAAGACGAGGATATATCAGAAAGTACAAGATTATTATTAGATGAACGGACTGGCAGTGATTCGAACAGAGTTCCTTCTTATAATACGATTGTTTTTGATGCTAAAATGATGAAGACTTCAACCCAAGAGGAGTTCGCAGCCACGTGGGGCGGAAGACGAGGCTTGCTCGATTCCGGTAATGGCAGACTAAGACGGGTGCAGTCGTGGTCGGGACTACCACCTGATGATGTTAGCTCGGAGATAAGAATACTGAGGGAACGGTAAGTGCTTATTTTTTTATAACTCAAATACTGTAACTCTGTGTATCTTTTAGGTTTTCGTTTCCATTCACAACCACATAATAATGATCTATGTCCCTAAAGATAAGCTACCAAAATAGTCATGCAATGACCTTTGAGACCCTATGCTGAGCCGTGACACGTATATATTCTGTAAGATCATTGCGTTATCAGCAATAACCTTATGCATCACGCCGTTACTTCTTCACAAAAATGTGAAACAGTTTTTCCTTGAAAATACGATACAATGCTATCATACAACGACGACAAATAAGGTGTTAATTTGTCAAACAACTTGATACTGTATATTAGTAGAAAGATGCTTCTTTGAGACTAATAATTCAGTATAATGGTGACTTCACGTATTGTCTTAGTAGTGCATTTTCGGAATTCTAACGAAATACCTGATACAATATTGTTGACCAGCGAGACCTATAATAATATCCTATCATTTATTTCTTCAAAAGGGTTCAATAGTTAATCGTATTAAAATATAGATTTCATCATGTTGTAATATTGGTCTTACATTAGTCATCTAAACAGATGAACCCGTCTACTCCCAAGCTAAAAAACTTGTAAGTGTTATTTAGTTAGTGAACCTTCTTTGTAAATTGTAAATGAGAAATGTGTACCAATGTTTGTTTACAAAGCGCAACCCTTAGACTTTCTTACATATTATTCTCATGAGAATCTGCCTATGATTGAATGGTAGATCAATATGGCCATTTCAAGTGTAAATTGCTTACTTATGACATTAATACGAGGAATAAAAATAAACTAGCTGTTCTTGATAGTCGTCTTCACAAAGTCACAAATTCGTTTAAGGGGCAATGTATACAAGAGGTTTAAAACTGTAGTGAAACAAAAACTTTATACTAAAGGTTATACAACTTCCGCGTACTTGGATGACAAAAATCCGTGGTAGTAACCCGTTTAGCTCATGGAGGTAATCTCGATCTCTGATGTTAGAAAACAAAAAAAATATATATTGTAAATGTTGAATGTGTACAAATGTTATTAACAAAGAGCCCCTAGAGTTTCTTGCTCATTCTTCTCAGGCGAATCTGCCTTACGATTGAGCGGTAGACTTTAACCAATGTGACGATTTCAAGTGTAATAATGGTTACCTATGAAATGTAGATTATTTTGATTTGATTTGAATTAAAATCGCTTGGAAGATAGAAATCCATTAACACATTTAAATGTTATTATAACGTAGATATAAATATAAACTTCATTGATATCCTATGATTCTAGTTAATAGACGTATCTATAACAAATAAATTTGTCTGTAATTCATTTACTGATATCGTTATCTTCATAATACACGTGTCGCGAATTGATTATAGTGCGCTGAGTACAATACCTATAGTAGTAAAAACACTAAACACTTACGAATAAATGGCGGACTCTATCAATGCAAACATTGAACAAAACCTTAGAGAAGTGAAACGTAAAACAAATAAACAGATACGTTTATTTCTTAACCGACTTCAAAAAAAGCTATCTTCTTATCTAAAGGAAAGATCTGATGTCTCTACCGTCCAGGAGGGTGCAGGTTATATAGTCCATTTGTTTAGATACTTAACTAAATGTAAACAATCTTGATACATCTTTTTATTGAAACATATATTTTACAAATCAATAGGTATAAAAATAGGCATGTAATTTCATGTGAAGCTAAGTAAAAATCATTTCATAAAGGAATATTTCATTAAATAGACTTCTCAAGATTGTTTACATTTAGTTAAGTACCTGAACAAATGGACTATAGAGCAGCACCATTTGCTCTTATTGAAACGCGTACAATTTTAGTTAGAGTAGATGTCATAATAAATATTCATTTAAACATACATCATATAATTCATTTCACGCCCCTTTCCCATTGTGATAGACCGAGACCGAGAAACAGTCTTCCACTTGCTGCGATACTGACACACATCTTTCGCCACATCAACACGCATCAGTGCCTTTATACAATGCTCGTCGGTTAGGATACTCTTGACCTGTACTACAAGTTTACTGTGACAGTCGTCGTCGCTAGCGACCCCGTAAATTAGTTCACAATTTTTAACCGACTTCAAAAAAGGAGAAGGTTCTCGATTTGACTGTATTTTTGTAGTCTATGTTTCGCGATTTCTCCGGCAATTGTAAGCTGATTTCGATGATCCTTTTTTTGTTGGTAAGGGGGTACTTCAGGAGCGGTCCCATTCAAATTTTAATAATACATTACACCTCTAAGGGTGGCAAATTAGGGGACGAATCCGGTTTATTGAATTTCACCCATTTTTCGTTAACCGATTTCAATAAAACTTGATAAATAGATGTAATTTCATAAGCTTTTGAGTTAGTTTTTTATATAAAAAGTTAAAATTATTTGTGATGCACAAGAACAATTACAAGAATCATTGTGAACCACTGTGACTTGCGGCAATTGAAGTTATTATAATTTTCATGCAGGCACTCATATAATAAATGAATAGATCTAGTTCCAGAATTTTTACCACGACACGGTATGACTTCATTTTATCTTCCCTATACTTCGGAACGATAACACTCTCCATGGTCATGAGTTACCTGGAAAACAATCAGTAGGTGCTTAAAACAAAATAGCACAATTAAAAAAATATAAATAAACAAAATATTGTGGAAATACAACGACATCAAAAAAAAACAAAATTATTTTTTTTTTTAATTTATTAAAGCTTTGGCAAAGCCATACATGAAGTTTAATTATGTTTCTGTAAATATGGCCGCCATAAAGAGGATAGGCAATTTGAGGCGGCGTGTTTGGATTGACTCGATTCCTTAAAACGGGCCGATATGGGTATTTTAGTTCGAGATTCGTATAATTTCGCGTTTTAATATTCGATTAAGGCACAATAGCACTATCCTATTCCACTTTAAACTAGATTTCACAAAATAATTGAAAGTCAAAATAAAAACGACACTTTTCCCTCCAAAAGGTCCAGAGCGAATCCTTAAAATTTCTTCGAAAGAAATTCCTCTACACTATGAAACTCGTTAACCAATAAAAAGGAGTTAAAGTCGGGTATTTTTTTAAGTTTTTATCGCTCATTCATGAAAAAGATCATTCCGATCATGTCTATTGAAATATGAGAATATTTCTTTAATATATAAAAATTCTAATTTTAAATATGTATACGAGTGGTGTTGTAGTAAAAATTCTCGTCCTTCGGTACACGTCAAACGTCTAATTGGCCATACTGCTAGATCTTAGATTGTAATTTTCATTTTCTTCAATAGTTTAATTTTCTGACACTTTTCCGCGAGAATTCATTATCAAAATACAAAAATATTTTAAACGATAAAATTCCTCAACGATTTCGGAGGACCGTTAAGGTGCAGATAAAAAAATACCTAAATTAACTATAAAATAATTTTAAAAAGAGGTACCTGATATAAAAAATAGAAATAAGCCAATATAACTACTTGGAATTATTTTTTTCCCACTAGTTCTATCTTATTTAAATATTAAATATTATTTAATAATAGAACTACTGGTGGGACGAAGGTCACCTAACACCGTGACTTATCTATTCACTTAGTCAGGTCTATCTTATTTCAAGGCTAAATCCTTTTTTGCCAAATACCATGATAACACTTGCTATTATATTATAAACTTTCACTTATCGCTGTAAAATACTTCCGAATTGGCTGCCTTCAGTCGACCGATTGGACGTCCGACTTGACCACCCCATCAATCAGCCTCCACCTATCGTCTTAATAATCGAGCAGGGGCTCCGTTTGTCCAGCTGGTTACTTGATAAATAGACTTGTGCATTAAACGGATATTAACATAAAATATTATACTGACTTTGCTAATTCTAAGTGCATGTTGTAACCTTACAGTTATATGTTTAAAGTTCACCGGTATTTATACAGATTGGTCCGTACTCAAACTCGGCTCCGTCCCGGCGCCGTGCGCCATTTGTCCCGCCGGCAGAGAATGACCCTCGTGTCCCTCGCGCTGGTGGACTTCATGAGCTTCTGCTCTATGAGCATCATGGCGCCCTTCTTCCCTCGCGAAGCAAGTTTGAAGGGCCTTTCAGACACAGTCTGCGGATTGGTGTTCAGTTTCTATGCTATTGTCATGTTTATAACTTCTCCACTGTTTGGAAAATTCGTAAGTACCTTTATTTTCTACTTATTTTTAATGCCTTAGTCTATCTATCTCAACCTAACCTAGACCTTACAATAAGTATGTGGTTAAGTAATAGATATTTTGTACTGTTTAGTTCTTATTTACATAATTATAAATGTATATTATGTACCCATTGCACTTGTCAAAAGACATATACATTGTGTACGTATATAACCTGCAAGGTGTCGTAATCAGTTATGTTTGGAAGAGATTTTTTTTATAACATCAAGTGACGGGAAGAACAAGTCGTAAAGCCTGATGGTAAGCTACACGCCAGTCCATAACAGTTGCAGTGCCACTCAGAGCTGTAAGCTGCAAAGATCTGAGGTGCACATAAGTTGACAAGTCTCATGTGCCTCTGATTGCACCAGTACCCTTACCCTTCAAAACCGGACCACAGTCATTACTGCTTGGCGGCAGAAATAGGTAAGGTGCAGTACTACCCTGGACAAACTCTTTCGCAAGGAGCTCTACTGCTACAAGAAATAACTGCCAATAATATAAAAACAATTACCTGTAGGTATGTGCAACAGAAGAACACATTATACGAGTAACATACCTAATCTTATTTGTCTCTATAATGAACACTAACAAAGTAATCAACCTTTCTCCAGTATTATAGAGTTTTCCCACGAGAAATAATTGTGGTTAATACAGAAGACCGTGTTAACTAAGTATATAGATAGATAGAAAATTCATTATTGTTAGCACCACATACATAGAAAGATTACAGGACAAAAATTAAACACATTAGCAGGATAATAATTGGCGGTATTATCGCTTACAGCGATTTCTTCCAGACAACTTAGGATGGAGAGAGATTGTTCAAGAATAAAAGCGGGGGTGTTAGATATAAATATTTACATATTGAAAAACGGAGAAAAGTTGTGATTCATCATTGTTTTTAAAGAAATAAGGGAGCGTAAGGCGCAAGTCAAAACGAAATAATTTGAATATTTTTTTATTTAATTGTTTTATTTAACAATAAAGAAGTATTACATTGTCTTTCCTCTAAATTTAACCAAATTTCTCGAAGAAATTACGAACACTGCGCCTGAAGAAACCGCACAAGCTGTGGCACTTTTGCAGTCAGGACTTAGTCAGCGTAATGTAAGTACACAACTGCATTTCAGTCGTTCCGCTGTTGAAAGGTTATAACTATCGGTACTTAGAGACTGGCCGCTATGTTCGCCGTCAAGGAAGACCACGATTTCGAGTGACAACGGAAAGGCAAGATCGATTTATCTTCACGACGAGCTCACGAAATCGTCAACTGACTTCAGTACAGATCCAAGAACAGCTTCGAGACTTTTATGGAGTGGCTGTTAGCGCTAGAATGTGAGAAGGAGACTTAAGAAACGTGGTCTAACTTCACATAAGCCAGCAAACGGGCCCAAATTGACACGAGCTCATCGAATGGCGCGACTCCAATTTGCACGAGAACATTTGCATTGGACTCCACGTCAGTGGAGCCAGGTACTCTTCACTGATGAAGCTAAGATTATGGTCTTTGGTACTGATGAAAGGAACAAGGTCTACCGAAGACAAGGAGAGCGTTTTTTGCAGTGTTGCATTGAAGAGAAAGTGAGCTGTGGCGGGGGTTCATGGACAGTCTGGGGAGGAATGTCCACCGAAGGCAAAACTGCGCTAGTGGTTATGACGGGGCCGCGGCGGCCACCATTTAATGCCGACAGATACATTCGCCAGTGCCTCGAAATTCATGTAATGTCATATGCTGGCTTTGTAGGCCGAGATTTTATTCTCATGCATGACAACGCAAGAGCACATACTGCAAGAGTCTTCACGGAATACCTTCACGACGTCGGTATTACTACAATGCAATGGCCAGCACGAAGCCCGGATATGAACCCAATAGAACATTTATGGAACGAACTAAAGAGGTGTGTTCGAGCTCACCACCCAGCCCCGCAAACCTTATCGGAGTTGAAAGTTGCCATTGAGGAAGAATGGGAGAACATTCCACAGCACTTCATATTGACGTTAATAAATTCTATGCCAAATCGCATGACGGCCGTTGTCAACGCTCTTGGAGGCAATACAAGTTACTGAATAGACAATTTTTTCCGATAAGCTGCTGTTTTCTTTAAAATTTCTTTACTAGAGTTTAATTTGACAAAGGTGAATTCAAGACTTGAACTCGTTTTTCCCTGGTTTCACAAAATCAAATTTTCAACAAGGATATACGGAAATGACGTTTAGTAAACCAGCTTCAAAATTGCATTAATAGTCGTTGATCATCAGACATATTTTTTAAGCTTAGGGCATTTAGTATTAAAAATATATATACTAAATAATAAAATGCAAAGTGGCTCGAAATATGTGTCCGGGAGTGTATATTCCTACACACACAATACTTAAAATACATGTTTTGAAAAAAGGAGACGCAGCCTAGCAACGGTATATTGCTAGTGTGTAAGTAAGTTGTCCAATAAACGATCTTCTGCTATATTATATTTACAAATAATCGAAAACTTTTTGTTCGCCCTTGTTGTTAACTGGAACACGCCTGTATCATAACATTCTATCAACCATTCTTTTAATAAAAAAGTAAACATATAAATAAACATATTTGCGTTTCTACGTATTTTTTAGAAGCTTAATATATCCACATCAGTGACAATGATAATTAGAAATTTTATAAATTAAATTGTACAGTAAGTTATTCAATAAAGTTGAAATAGTGAGATTTTCAAATCTTAATCATTAAGCTTGTTCATATTTGTTATTTGGGTTATATAATCGGAAAGACGTAATTAACTAATATTGTAATATGAACTGTGTTTATTCAGAAAATATGAAACTGCAAGCAAATGTTTGGATATATACCTAATAGTTATAAAATTTTATGAACTAGCAAATAAACTAACGAGTGTAACGTTTATTTTGCACGTATTACAACATTACATTTAATGAAAGATCAGAATAAATACCGAAAGAAACACTATATTTTAATCATTTGTTTGCTTGTTTTAGTTGCCAGTGGTGGGTGCCAAGTTTCTCTTTACTGCTGGTATGTTCGTAGCAGGGGCGTGCAATGTTATATTTGGGTAACTATTGTCACTATATTTTCTTGTAGTAATACAAGACTAAATCATAGTACGCATAGCCACATGACTATCTGTATTGTGCAATTAATTATATGTAACCTTAAGACAACTACACAAACGGTATAGTATACACGGCGGCGGTGTACAAATATGTTTTGGAAACCCTATATCGCGGGTGCCATAGACACACACTTACACAACCACAAATAACACCTAACTAACGAGAGAAATAAATGTTGACCATACAAATATTTGTCCCGGACTGGGATTCGAACCCGGGACTTCCGCGTTACAGTCCAGTATTGTAACCGTCCGGCCATGGAGGCAGTTCGCTCTGTCCGCTACTGAGAACATTTTGCTAACTATTAAGAACAGCATTCCAACACCTATACATATTACAGTTGGAAGGTAGTTGGAATACACCTTCGATCCGAAATAATGTATGTGATCTAAGTCCATACATAAGTAACAGTCATTTGGATTAGCAGTTTATTGGATATAAGTACCTAATATTGCCGAAAGGACTTTGTGCTCAGAACTGTATATCTTTTTTACATTAGTCTTTCATGTGTGACCACCATTGACCTCAATGGCGACCACAAATAATTTCTTCAAGCAAATTACAACGCCATGATGTTCTCGTTTAGGTAGGTACTTAAGAGAACTATTGCACTCTTCATGACTATTTAAAGAATAAATATAGCAAACGGACCAAGCTCCTCCTAATAGATAGTTTGCTTAATTCACCAAACTGAATTATGGAAAATCGTCTTTTTTAGTCCCAATTTTGAGCAATTGACTAATTATAGGCTAGAGCTAGTCTCTGTTAGCATAGTATAATAAGACAAGTATGATAACTCCACACAAACGTACCAGTGCGGCTTAGTGTCTGCACGTTCGCCGCACCGTGTATGGACGCACAATTTGTCCGTATATATGAAAGGCACGTGGTAGGACCAGACAGCGCTATGCAACGCGAACGCATCGCGAGTTTATGCGAATGTATGCGTCAGTACATGACACGCGACTGTCGCGCACACATACAAGTCTCGCTGCTAGGTTTGTGTGTAGTTACCATATTTGTCTTATTACTTTATGCTACTTATTAGGTTGTCATTTTGTTCGTTAAACTATTTTAATAATTTAATATACCATAGGTACCTAATTAATTACATTAAAATTCCTTTATGTCATTCAACAAATATGATTAATATTGGTACTTGTCAAGTAATATTATTATTATTTCCAGCTTCTTAGCTTTAATAGATAACACAGCGACATTCACAACACTGTGTTTCGTAGTGCGAGGACTAGAAGCTCTAGGCGCGAGCGCATACTCTACGGCGAGCTATGTGTTCGTCGTGAATGCCTTTCCGGACAGCATTGGCTCTGTGCTTGGCATTTTGGAGACATTTGTTGGCCTTGGCATGTCTGTTGGCCCTGCTATTGGAGGATTACTGTATTCGGTACGAATTGCTGCTTAAATAGTGATTTGGCATTTGATTTTTGTCTCATAGAGCGGTGACATACGGCTACTTGCAGCAGCGTAACACGCGATTGCATCGCGACATTAGCGATTAATAGATGGGCGGTTGCATTGATGCAAACGCGCGATTGTATCGATGCAAACGCGCTCCTGCATTGATGCACTCGCTTATGTTGAATATTGTAAGTCAATGTGTTGAATCATTAATAAACGTGTGTAAGCTAGAGAGGTTACTAAGGGTCGTATTCTAGAACTCTACTCAATGCTCAAGTCAGGACTTGAGTATGATTCAAAGCACTAGAAATCATACTCAACTCCTTGCCATTAGGGTCGTATTTCCAGTGCTTGAAATCATGCTCAAGTCTGCTCAAATCCTGACTTGAGCATTGAGTAGAGTTCTGGAATACGACCCTTAGAGTCTAACTAAGAGTAGTTCATTTAGTCTCATTGGTATAGCACCCAGAGTTGCTGTAATGAGAGGTGACTACTTGGATGGGTGGGGATTTAGAAAACAAACATTTTTAAATTGGTTTTACTCTGTAATTGACATAAATTTACTCCGAATTCCGTGGAATTTTCTAGTTTAATTTTTTTGATGGCCTGATACGTCACAAATGCAACAGTAAATTAAATTTAAACATTACAGAGGGTCCCGATACCTTTGATGAAATCGCTAAAGTGTAATTAATGAATTTAAATGAAAATTAAATAATGTGCTCATAGACTTTATTTGATTACTAGGCAAAGGTTCATACAAGGGATGTGATTTTTAAAGCATTTTAACGTTATAAAATGTTTCAGGTAGATCGGGGGCTTCGGTTTACCATTTTATGGTCTTGGTATTGTAATGGTGTTGACCGTTCCCATCAACTATTTCCTATTAATAGACTGTGAAGGTTAGTATTGATTTACGTCTGCTTTAATAATTTTAATAATATACTTTAATATTCAAAAAATAAAGACTTTTTGAGTGTACTTAGTTTAGTTTCATTACGCTAAGTTTTCCGGGTTATTATTTTTTTTTAAATGGCTATTAGAATATCGATGCCTCACTTTCTCAAACTCGTATCTTATAAACAGTGATTGTTCAGGAGATGGCAAAATTAATAAAAAAATATTTTTTTTAAATTTCTTAACAACTTTAAGAATAGGTCCAATGTGTAAATATGAAGGTAATGTGATGTGAAATCGACCTGCAAAATTTGAATGTATAATTTTTTTCACATTCATTTTTTGCATTTCAGTAATTGAGAAAGTAAGGCGACGATATTGCCAATTTTAACAAGTTTTTTTGAGTGTCGAGTGGCCGACAGCGCTTTTAGAACATCGTTTAATTCTTTTCAGAATACGTATCCGGCTCAAAAACTGGTTCGATTCTACGTCTTTTCAAGATCCCATCAATAATAATTACCGGGCTTGTTATAGTCATCGTGTCCAACACTTGGGCGTTCTTGGACCCTACCCTGGAGCCCCACTTACGACAATTCGGGCTATCGACTAATCAAATAGGCTTGATATTTTTATTGTTCTCGAGTCTGTACGGAATCTTTAGTCCTATTTGGGGATGGGTGGCGGACCGGTAAGTTTATTTAACTCTTACTTTTTTAAATCTAGTGACGGTACGAACAAGTCATGTTGTCAAGTCGTCTGCTGGTAAGTGACACATCTACTCATAGCATTTACAGTACCAATGAGAGCTTTAAATCGCAAAAACCTGAGGGGCACTCCCACCCCGCTCATCACCTTGAGAAATAAAGCTGATAAGTCTCATGTACTTGCAGTGGCGGATTTGCAGTTTTGGCCGCCCAAGACCCCAGATCATGTAGTCAGTACCAGCATCCGCTCATTTGATTTTGAGTTTATCGCGATCAGACAGACAGACGTAGTGATGTAGTGATTTATACAGTACAATATAGATATGTGACATATATCTATATTTGATACATAAAATGTACGAAAGTGATTTAGGAAGATTATTGTTATACGATCCGGTGCAGTGCGGCCATAATGTTCGTGAGCCTTTGGAATATTTAGGTACTTTGAGTTATTTCTTGTGAAAATATCATCAGTGAATTTTTGGTCACGATTAGCCGCCCCTAAAATCTGCCCGCCCTAGGCCCGTGAATACTAGGCCTTAGGGCAAATCCGCCACTATGTGCTTGTAGTTACCAGCACTCTCACACTTCAAAACCGGAACGCGGTTATGCGTGCATTAATGCTTAGCATCAGAAATAGGTATGGTGACAATATTTCCGTGGATGAACTCTTTCACAAGGAGTTCTTCTGCTACTAAAGTCATAGTAAGAGATACGTCGTATTTGCTGTATTTCGGACACTTCAGTATCGCAACTTTGCACCTGGTGCACAGTCTGGCTGTTAACCGGTATAAAAACAACGGTAACGGACGCAGTGGCAGTGCCCCTCAGATCTTCGTGATTTAAAACTCTGAGCAGCACTGCAACTGTTACGGACAGGCGTGTCGCTTACCGCCAGACGCACGACTTGTTCGTAATTTGGTATCGCAACAAAGAGCAATCATTTTTGACACTGTAGATTTTATAGCCCCTGAACTAAAAGCAAATCCTCAAAAACAAAGTTATAATTTTATAATATTTTTGTGTAAACTTACTTTTTTCAACACGGAACATTGTTTCCAAAGTCAAGTAATTTGGTTTCATATATGCCTTCGCAGTTTTACGTTCGAATATTTACTATTTTATCATCACTACTATTAAATATACCTGTAACAATGAATGTGTCACATGTTTATTTCAGCGTCCACAATCACTGGTGTATGATGGTGTGGGGTCTTTTCTTATCTTCGGTAGGGCTTCTACTGCTGGGTCCGTGTCCATTCATTCCTGGACTGCCCAGGTAAGACTTCTAATCGTTGTACAGTTCTAATTGCGGTAATAAGGCAAATGTAGAAGATCCGGTGTATATTTACCGGAATATCTAAAACCATGGGGAAATAATTAATAATTATTTATTTTGCAACATTTATCATTTATTGCTTCATCTGCCCCCGTAGCATGGCTACGCATGATAGTCGCAGCGCGCGCGATAATTTGAAATAAGAGCGCGCTATGGGCTATATATAATAGGGGTTAAAGTATGAAATTGCCGATTTGTACTGAAAATCTAAATTGTTTATTTTTTAAATTTTTAACAAATTTATTTAATCGAAATAGTTGCCATTATTATCTATACATTGCTGCCATCTAATGGGAAGGTTATTAATGCCTTTGCGATAGAACTCCGACGATCTAGACTGCACAAACTGTGTGAAAGCATTTTGTACTGCCTCCTGGGAAGAAAACTTCTTGTCACGTAGATAATTGTCCAAATCACGAAAAAAATGGTAGTCCGTTGGAGCAAGGTCTGGTGAATACGGAGGATGACGAATGGTTTCTAACTGCAGTTCCTGAAGGGTCAAAATGGTTTCTCGTGCTGTGTGAGGTCTCGCGTTGTCGTGGAGCAATAATGGTGAAGATCGATTCATGAGTCGGGGCTGTTTTACTGCTAGTTTTGTCAACATGGTTCGGAGTTCGGCACAATAGACATCTGCCGTTATTGCTTGACCAGATCGGAGAAAACTATAGTGAATAACACCATGCTGAGACCACCAAACAGTTACCATTACCTTTTTATTGGTAAGTTTTGCTTTAGGACACTGTTGTGGCATTTGACCTGGGGTCAGCCATTGCATTTTTCTTTCCCGGTTATCATAAAGAATCCACTTTTCATCACATGTAACAATTCGATCCAATATTCCTTCATTTCTGTACCGGTTCAACAAGGCAACACAAGTTTCAACACGCGTTTCTTTCTGCAGATCAGTCAAATCATGAGGCACCCATTTTCCGTATTTTTTTATTTTATTGATTTGACGCAAGTGAGTCAATATTGTGGGTAAGGTAACGTTAAACCATGCCGCTAATTCCTGGGTAGTTTGACTAGGATCGGCTTCCACTATCTCTCTTAATTCATCGTTATTCACCAGTGTGGGCGGTCTTCCTCGTGGCTCGTTCTTTAAGTCGAAATTTCCATCACGAAAGCGTTTAAACCAAAATCGCACGGTGCGTTCATTAGTAGACCCCTCTCCAAACGCAGCATTGATATTGCGGGCTGTTTCTGCCGCATTAGTTCCGCGTCGGAACTCGTATTCAAAAATCACTCGAATTTTCGCAGTATACATCTTTCTTGTCTAAATTGAATAACAAAAACAATTGAAAGTCGATATTCAAATGTTTCAAATTTAAAAAAAAAAATCACAGAAACCATTTGAAAAAAGTTTCATTCGAAAACCTCAAACCATGAAGATTCTATGAAAATTCAAAGAACCTATTGCAATAAAACGGCAATTTCATACTTTAACCCCTAATATTAGATCTAATTGAGACAGCCACAGACATATATCTAGATGTGCGTACTTCGCGTGCCCAAAGTAAGTGAAATTCACTTACTTGCCGCGCTGCTACACTTCAGAACAAACACCATTCGAAAATGCGAAAATGCATAATCGTGCCATTATAAACTTCAAAAGCACCATAACTGTGGGTAAACGCGTAATCAGGCACGTTTCCTTCCACGGGCAAATGATTTTGTAACCAGAAGATGCGTAATTTAATTTAAAAACAATTGTTTTGATTTTGCATGAATTTCGAGAAAACAAATATGCAACAGAGTATTTGCCTCTTGTTTGTAATACAGTGCGGCTTTTACTTGGTGCAATATATTAGTGATCCTTTGTTAATACGCCATAAATATCGAACGAACGCACTTTTGTATAATGCATTCAGTTTCGCGGTACGGCTGCTTGTACATTTTTTTTGGCCAAATATAATAATAAAATAAAATAGTGATGTATAATGTTAAGCAACACTGTTCTCGATTCTAATCGATTTTGAAAACAAAGGGACGAAAATTGCTATGACCTTAGCAATATTATAAAAATATTCTATAACTCTTTTGTTCTAACGTTCGTTTTTTTTTAGTTTTGTAGTATCTTTTATCAGTAGTATCTGTAATTTCGATAATTTTTGCAGCACGTTGCCTCGAATATCCGAATATAGTGAGCAAATAACTTCATACATCGCCGGATATGTAGTACGAGTAATACAAAAAAATATATAATGCAAAGAATTAACAGTGCGCTGTCTTTACAAAATCCTGGAGTTGGTCATACGCATGAGTTCGTTGCTTTCGAGGACGAAAGTGGTCTAGTTTATCCCACCTAAGATGCTATCAAAATATGAAGAGTAGCAGAGTTAGAAATCCGAGAAATTATAAATCCGAGAAATTATAAACAAATCACAAAAATTTCACACGAGGCTGTCATTAAGTAAATCTCTTCTGATTAATAAGATTTTACCATATTTTGTCAGCACTAACATTTTCATTTGTCTTGCCATTCATCAATTTGATCAATTGCCAACAGAAGACCATCTAGTAAAATTAATTAAGGCAGTCGCAAGTTCATATATTGACGTGCGTTTTCATTATTACGCAAACTCGATCCAAGTAAATCTGCAGGTCCGGATCACTTACCTTACTTATTATATTATAATTTTATTTGCTGTGACCACTGTCTAAGTGCTCATTGTTTAGTCATTATGTTATTATAAGCGAAAACCTTTAATTGGCTGTAATGTATTTGTTGATGTTTTTAATTTGTTGTTAAGCTGTTGGTTTTCCACGAATAAATAAATAAATTATTTGCGTTAATCGATAAGATCTTCTATTACAAAAAGATGTCATAAAATAAGCTCATTTTATTGGAAGGACAATAATTTTAATACTTGAGGTCGATTAAAAATTAGAGTCTTATTTTTTTAAGTAATCATATTTTTTTAACACAAGTAAAATATAGGACTTAAATATCTTGTTCTAGTATTTTTCTACTATATTAATATTACGACTACTTGTAAAAAAAACTTGAACAAAAATTATTCTATTTAAAATCCATTAATTGAATGAAATACGCGTGTTTACGCGTATTTCGTTCAATCAATCGATTTAGAGCGAGCGGAAGGAGGTTTCCATCCCTAAATAGTTCTTGTGACGTCATAGTGGGTACAAAAAATGTGACACGCCTGGTTTTAATACAAATTGCTGTACTTGCGGCGACTATCTAGATATATGTCTGTGGAAACAGACAATAGCGCGTGCTTATTTCAATTTTATCGCGCGCGTCGCGACTATATACTATGCGACTATATAGCCTTGCTACGGGGGCTGGTATACTGAATTGGAATAATTTAATAGTTCTTTATATTTGTTGTGTTTATATTAAAGTTCTTTAAATAAATTGGTAAAATAAAATTCACGTGATATGAGCGTACTGAATTTGTTTCCATAAAAAAAAAACAACAAACAGCAAAATATGTCATAGACTTTGAAGTTTAATGAAATTTACTTAAAAAAATGGTTTTTCATTATTCATTACTATATAAAAGTGAATTTAACATATTTGTTAAAATAAGATCACTCGGAGTACTTTACAATACTATACATATAATATAACAAACCTATTCCTCAAACATATCACCAGTATTTTATTATCTATCACCATATCACTAAGAAAAAATGTGATTAAGTCATATGAATTTTTATTCTAGAACATTAAGCGCCATCTGGCCAGTTTCTTCTGAACTATACGACCCTGCTTGTTTGTACTAAGTTCTTAGCGAATATTTTCATTTTAGATCCTAAAATTCGCTCCAAGAGTTAAATCTTGAGTCGTCGAGTTTTAGTCTTCAGTGGAGGAAATAAATTCTTGAAAATTCCAAAGCGTGACTAAGCCCAAATCTGTGTACAGTCATTTTTACACTTTATTTTGTACTAATATCGCCTCCAGTGCAACGGAACAAGATCCGTCAATGTGTAGCTTGAATTGCTGCTAATTACAGACGGCAGCACATCAAGCTACACATTGACGGATCTTGATCTGTGTTGATGTGCTGTTGACTGTTCCTTGTTACCTTACGTCCTACATTTGTTTAACATTACTGAAATTATTGATTTATTGATTTTTTGTACAAATATATGCTTCGGCATTATCTGTATACAATGTGTTTTCAGCGATCTATGGTTAGATCTAGTGGCACTCTCCATCCTCGGAATTTCCGTGGCTCTCACTTTGTTGCCCACTTTCCAAGGGGTCCTGACTAGTTCTATGTAAGTGTAGATTGTTTTATTTTTCTTATGATACAAAAAACCCTATATATTTTTTATATAACCCACTGTTTATATTTAAGTACCTATCTCTTATTGGATCTGTTGTCTCTTCCATCCAGGAGAGTGCAGTTCTACAGCCTGCACTAGTTACTCTTATTGAAACGCGTACAATTTTAATTAGAGTAGATATATTATCACTTAAACATACATCATATAACACTTCATGCCCTTTTCCCGTTGTGGTGAACAAAAACAGAGAAACAGTCTTTCACTTGCTACGATACTGATACACACCTTTCGCCACATCAACACGCATCAGTGCTTTCATACTTGCTCATCGGTTAGGATACTTTTGAGCTATGCCTCTACCGCAAATTTACTGTGACAGTTTCTCACTATTTTAACCGACTTCAAAAAAGGAGGAGATTCTCAATTTGACTATATTTTTACTATTCTGGCATTTGTGAACCGATTTTGATGATTCTTTTTTTGTTGGAAAGAGGTTACCTCAGTATTAGTCCCATTTAAATTTGAAGAAATTATTCCACCTGTAAGAACGACTACAAACGGCGACTTTTAGCAGCGATGCAAACGCGATGCTGTCGCTAATTGTCTAACCTTAGATACGCGCGCGCGATTTTAAGCAGCGATGCAGACGCGATGCAAGCGCGCGACTGCATCGATACAAACGCGTGATTGCATCGCTGCACTTGGGTTTAGAATAGATGTAATTGTACGAACTTTGGTCACTGGGATTATGTAAGACAAATTATACAGTGCCCCTAGCGGTCACAAGAAGAAACAACATTTTATACACCTACAAACATTCTACGCGATCGCTAGCGATAGCTGTTACTGTAATCTCGTGATAGAGGGACAGGTCTTTGTATGGGACGTACTCAATTATATCATGATCGTTCGCCTTGGTTAGCCCTTACCAATTTGCCCGCTCACTCTCGCCTTATAAATCCGTTTCAACACACTCTCCTTTATAAAGGCGAGAAAATCAGCAAAACCTTTCTGAAAGTCCCGCATTAGATTATCGGCATGGTGGACAATAGTTATAACTCGCTTTACAGAGCACGCTCAAAAATACCTATGTAGTTTTTGGACAGATTTATTATTGTAATGTCTACCCTCCTTAGTTACGAAGGCGGTTGCCCTGAGGCGCTAGCAACATACAGCGCCGTGGCCGGCGTGTGGTCATGCTGCTACTCGCTTGGCGAGGTATTGGGACCAGCCTTGGGTGGAGCATTGGCACAGCAATACGGGTTCCCCTTGTGCGCTACATTGTGCGCCGCTGCTTGCTTTACTATGGTATGTTCCTATAATATACTCCAACAGGCGATTTACAATACAGCTATAGTTATATTATATAATGTATCGCAAGCTATTATTTCTATTTGATGACTGTTGTTATTCATACTCTATACTAACGCCTTCCCAGATCACGTTAAACGAAAGACGTGGTGAAATTGCAGGCACATGGGATTCGTCAACTTATGTCTCAGGGTAACGGGCGCATTGGCGATGCCCCTCAGATCTTTGCGATTTAAAGCTCTGAGTGGCACTGCAACTGCTATGGACAGACGTGTAGCTTACCATCAGGCGCACGACTCGGTCGCGTCACGCCTCTTGATGATGTAAAAATAAAAAAGTATTGGTATTTCGTAGTTGTTACCAGCATGGTAACGATTTAGCCACAGAGGCAGTAAATTAATGTTACTAATAACATAAATATTCAAAGTTAGTAAGGGGTATAAAATATATAATAAAGGGTTTTTCACCAAGGGCGGGTAGATTTTGACAGTCCATTCTTTCATAGTGGCCATATTGTTACAAAAGCAGCCTGCTTTTGTCAAATCTGTTGTTTATTTTTCAGTCACTAAAGATTATCATGGCAAGTTACGGCGTCGAGCAACACGTGGAAATGATAAAAATTTATTATCAAAAGGATGTGACAAAAAAAATTGAAGTTTTAATTTAAATTAAATTAAAAATTTATTATCAAACCCTTTCGATAATAAATTTTTATCATTGCATGTGTTCTATTGTGGCAATGATGCGTGCGTAATAACTGCCACGGCTTCTCCTGAACACTCTCACGAACAGCGACGATGTTTTGGGCAGATCTTGAGTTTCTTCGACGTACGGGTGTTGGCTGATGAACTTGTCGACTCGAATTTGTCCACAAACGTCGAACACTTACTGGGAAGGACGACCACGTAAATCGTAAAATGGGTGCAACGCGCGCATCGTTTCCTCAATGGAAGACCCATTTTGATAATAGATTTTTATCCTTTGCACGTGTTGCTCGACTCTGTAACTTTCCATGATGATTTGTCTTTAGTGACTAAAATAAACAACAGATTTGACAAAAGCAGCCGCAACAACATAGCCGCTATAAACTAACGCTACAATCTACAGTCCCTTATTCTAAAATAAAGGGTCCCAATGTTATTTTCCAAACAACAGGCAGTACTGACGCTAACGTTCTTCTCCCTTCGTGAGTCGTCGAAGTTCCTCGAATCGGAGTCTTTGTCGGACTCGATCCCATACACAGACACGACATGGAACAGCGAGCACTTTTTGCGAACTCGCAGCGCGCCAACTAGTGCGCTGGCAGAACATTCGCCGTTGCTGACACCTTGCTCTTGTTCGTCTAAAAATGGTGAGTACCTAACAAATGCTCTATGAATGTTTAAACAGGAATATCATGAATATAATTATGTAAATTGATTGTACCTATACTATCATTAGCCGTACTTGGCCTACCCGGTGCGTGTTGTACGTACTTATAAACATCTTTCGCAATGTTAACTTTAACCCCTTCGTGCTTATGAACTAGCTGACTGGTTCACGTGGCTGGACCATGGGCAATTATTTACTCCCGTTATTCACCTCTTAGGTATAAAATAGAATGACACAAATTTATATTGTTGGTGGTCCACCTGAGACGGTTTAATGTTGACTATTATAATAATTATGGTTTTTAAAAAAATATGCGTAACTGGCTAATTTTTATAAAAATGTTTATTACATGCTATTTATTTAATAAAATAATTTTTTTTTTAAGTTTTCCATTCCCAGAGTTACAAAATTTTTCGAAAGATCCAAAATACACGTAGGCTCCTTGTTTTTCTAGTACACATTAATTATTAGAAAAATATATATTTATACTTAAAAAAATTTCATAATTCATTCAATATTAACATCAAATTGTCAATTAATAGACAATAAAATACCAAGTAATGCCTGTGTTATGTAGTCATATTAACCTGTTGCAATGGCAATATTTTAATAACAAGGTCATTCAAGATTTTTTTTAAATCCCGTAGTTAGTACAGCTAGTTGGTTATAGGTGGGCTACGGGAAAAAATAATTGTCCGTAGTTCACACAGGCGAACAAGCAATCAGATGGTCCACGAGCATGAAGGGATTTTAACTTTCATCTCAGTGTATTGATCTTCAAATAACAATAAAAAAAATATTTTTTTCTTCTATCAACTTTACATAATACGTATTCTCAGGTTTCTCCTACGGGTCAAGCTTCAGCCCCTCCCGTAAACTCTGCATCAAACACAATAAAAATAAGAGCGGCTCTGCGAGTGTGACTGACGCCATCGCATACTTTCTCAAGTTTCAATACCTTACAGAAATGTATATATATATCAGAAAACGATCTCAAAGTAAAAAATCTAGTCAGTCTTCAAGTGTTAGTCCTAATTCAGAACCATACCAAAACTACCTCGAAAATCAACCAGTTAGTGAAAAAACTGAAGTCATCAATATAAATAATAATTTCATATCAAAAAACGAAGATAAGTACTGTTTATACTTAGAAAATGCCATCTTTGGGAGTCCAGATGTAATGCAGAACGTGCATATGGAAAATCTAATGGTAAAAAGGAACAACAGTGGTCTGATTAGTAAATTAACAAACACAGGGGAGGTTAGAAGACCTTCAGAAGACATTATTAGGCATAATTTGGAGAAGGTGCAGTTTTATGAACAGAATCAAGCTTGTGCGTCGGTGGAAGATATTTTCGTAAGTTGATAAATTCAGTAATTTTATATTTTACTTACGGTATTTATGAGTACATATATAGAATTTTATATTTTTATTTACAAGGACGGCTGTGAATGCAGAGATGGCGTCACCTATGTCCGTGGCACAGTAACTGTGTCGTCCACAGGCGCTTGTGAAGTTTAAACTTCTACACCAGATATTTTATTGTTTAACGTTGAATTTTAAAGTATTTTTAGCTTAGTTACAAGTAATAATATGTTTTTATAAAATAAATTAAATTATGTCTCAATAAGAGTATGCAATTTTATTGTAATTCTCACAAACCGTTAAATCATAGAATTAAAGCGCCTCAGCAGCGCAGCCCCTGCCGTTCCGAAGTAGCAAAAATATTTTACAAATCGTGCACCATGCTAGGGTAGCATGAATGACTGAAGATCGATCATTTACGCCATCATGTAGGTGGGGAAGCTTCGAGGGCGCAGCTGAGGGGAAACCAGGGGGAAGCTGTTCCCGCCGTACCTTGCGATATCCCCTTATGTATTCGCACACACTTCCTGTTGAACTATGCTGTCCTGGTAAAATCGACCTCTGCTGACGATTTCGCGACGTTGTCATGGCAATTTTGCAGACCTTGACCACTGTCCATCCTGAGATCACACAGCCTCTCAGTTTTACTCTCAATTTTCCCAGACAATTGAGAGAAAACGGCTTGGATTGGCAGCGCATCCATTAGTTAGCCCGACCAACCAATCGGGACTACAGCAGTACTAGGTCTGCATAACTTGTTAGACGTTCGAAAAATACTTTCGTGTCCGCGGGTGATTCTCTCAATATTGTGTACCGTTAACAAACATTATTTTCGGTAGATAATATTGAGAGAAATTTGTTTCATGTTATTTATTTGGTTATTTTATTTCATAAAATTTAATTAGTTATTTTATTTAAATAGTGGTACTGCTAACGGTCAAAAGTTGCTACTTTTGACTAGTTCTTATCGCAAACTGCACAAGGTTGAATTTTCACCTTAAGTGTCAAACTTGATGTGCTCTTGATTATTACACAACAACGGACAAAAATAAACATTTCTATTTATTTGTTATAGGGCTTAAAAAGAAGATGAGTTAACAAAAAGCGTTCATTACCTAAAAAAATGTTTTTCTATGAAATTTGCTAAACTATACCGTTTCTCATAAAAAATATTATCGGAATCGTTGTAACAATTGCTGAATGGACACTGCTACGGCTCTACCAAGACAGCATAACTATTAAAAAGTACTTGTCTTGTATCGACACTTCCCAGACTGCTACGAAAAATCAATAATTTGCACAAAGTGCACGTCAGCATCGTCCTTATAGTGTGAGAAACAGACGAATTTTAACATAATTACTCAGTACAACATATATTATTTGAAATTGCCTTCCATTATCTATTTGTAGGTAAGTATATAACAAGGACCTTCAATGAACAAATTAAAACAATATTCAATATAGAAGTTTATTTGAATTGTTACGACAAGGTTGTAAAACGTATCACCCCCTTGTGACGTATGAAGGTAGACAGAGAGGGAAGGAACGTCACACGGGGAAGGATAAGAAGGGGATGGGGTGAGAGAACAGCCAGCAAATCACAGAGCTTCGAGCTATTCGCATAAGTGCGAGCGAGTGAGATAGTATATCACTTCTCTTTAAAAAGTACAATGGCGGCATTTCAGCTGGTCGTAATGTGGATCTCTATAATTTCATGTCGTCCTGGTAGTTACGCCGTCGGGTAGCACCATTCCGCCATCTATTTCTGGGGCGATTCGAAACGCCACTGCGCCCGCATGGCCTGCTTCGTAAAGTTAACAAAAAAAATACCCTCGTGATCTAGTACATAGATATATCATATTGTTGCTAGAAATTACAAATAGATTGATTTTCATAATTTTTTCTTTTTGTAACTGAATAATTGAATTCGTATTTGTAATTATCTGTACGTCAAAGCCTAACTCTATTATTTTTAATGACGATGTGCCTAGAAACGAGTTTATCCCGAACCTGCATTTATACGATGTTTTGCATAGGTATATTTTACGATTACTGCGACACGATATTGGTACCTACTTGTTCGCAACTGCGCATACGCCCACTAAATTGATCCCAGTTGATCAATTTATGGTGTAATTTATTAATCAGCAGTCCGATTGTCAAATCCTTCGACGTTTGTTGTACATTTTATTACTATCCATTTTTAATTGGTTGAAGCGGCGGTTGAATTCTAAATGCTGAGTATATCAACGTGAACAAATAGAGGAAGCTGGTTCGGATCCAGCCGGATCGAAGAAATTTTTCTTAATGTTCGATATTTGTAATCGGCTGGATGGAGAAAGTCAAGAACGAAGCAGTACTCCTGCGCATTAACACCTCACGCCAGCTTATGCGGACCATCAAGAAGCGCAAAATAACATATCTCAGACACGTGCTTCGACTCTATAGATACCGACTGCTTCAACTTTGGGAAAGGTTGAAGGCAAGAGACGAGTTGGAAGGCGTAAAAAGTCATAGTTAAGCAACATAAGGGAGTGGACCGGAGTCGCGAACAACTGTTTCGTTTGGCCATGGATAGCGACAACTTTGCCATAATGACGGTCAACCTACAGTAGTGGAGAGGCACTTTATGAAGATCTGCAACAAACTCATACACAAAAATTCAAAAGTCGTTCAGTTGGGGAGCATCGGCTTGGTATGCTTTGGCAATTTTTCTTAGTGTTCGATCTTTGTATTAATAATTATAACAAACTAATGGAGTAATTTCAGAAAAATAATTTAATATCATGGTAGTAAAATATTGTGATATTCAATAAACTTCATATTACAAATAAAAGACTTTGCACGCATTAATGAAAAAATGTAAGAATAATAAATTTTATAAAATTGCAATATGTAATATAATTTTCGGAAATATCAATATGATTCCAACTCTAAACCAGTACTTGCTTATGTGAGCATAAGAATTACTTATTTACCACTGCCAAATAATTGTTGCAAAAGAAGGTCACATAGTTATATATTATAGAATAATACGTCACATGTTAAATATGATGGAACTTATTAACGATTAAAATAATTATTAAAATAACGCATCTGAAAGGAAATGCGACTGATATGGCAATATGATTTAGTTTACAATACGAAATTATATTAGTGTGCAAGGACCACGAGTCACTTTTAAACTTTGTAAAAATGAAGATAATATTAATTCTTACCCTTGTCGGTGTGATTTCGGCGAAAAAGGAGTCAAAGTGTGAAGGCAAATATGTGAGACAAGTATTTAATAAAATGGACGTCTTGGAACAAGGCCTAAACCGCCCTTACCAACTAGTATATTACAAGAAAAATCACGAAATTTTCTTCAGTAATAATGTCGGCAACTTCACTGAAGATAAATTTGAAATCCGTCGATTACACGTGGCTGTTGGTTCTAATATTACAAATGTCAAGGTCGATAATGTAGAAAATGGATTCGCAGTAGCAATAGACAATGAAAACGACGCAGTTTACTTCGGTGGCAGCGACGGCGTTCACAAATATGACCTAAAAGAAGACAAGCTTGAGAAAATAATAAACAATCACGACATTTGGGACATGTTCTTTAAGAAACATTTGTATTTTATAACTTATCCTGGTCAACGGCTGTACAAATACTCGGATTTCAAAAGAAAACATTCTAAAGGACTTGAGTGGAAGGACGTTCATGAAAAATTTATTCACGAACGGATATATCAATTCGCGATAGATAAAGACGATGACGTGTTCATTACGAATGACACTGGTCTTTTTATGATTAAAAATGGTACAGAGCACAGAAGGCATATAACCGGTGAGACGGTGTTCCGATGCATAGAACTGAACAATGAAGGCGAAGCGCATTTTTGCGGGAAGAACGCAATTTTCGTAGTTCATAAAGAAACCCATACTTTAAATGAAATCGTGTATGTGAAAAACATATTCGGTCTTACATTTGACAATGCCGGCCATATTATTTACTCTAATCCGACTAAAATAGTTAAATTAACGCCGTCTTTGTGCAAAATCCTTAATGGAATTGTAATGTACGAACCTCTGCCGTTGCCTAAAGTTCTTCCAAAACCTGCTAAGACATAAATACGTACCTAAACCACGCATACTGTTGCAGAAAAAATCTAAGTTATATTTGCCGATATTATTAAATAAATTTTTATTTTGTTGAGAGTCTGTATATCCGCCTGTATAGCCGCCCTAAAAGGAGAAAATAATATTTTTATACGAGTTCTGTACTATTAAGTATACATTCAATAATAATGTATATTTCTTACTATATCCGCTTATAAGTGTATTTTCTTCATAAAGCTCACCCGCTTATTTTTGTACAAATAAAAAATAGAACGAAATATTCTCTAATACTCTAGTGTAGACACATAATATAAATAAATAAATATTAGATTACATCACATACGTTGCTCTGATCCCAAAGTAAGTACCTAACTAAACCAATTGTGTTATGGAAATCGGAAACAACGACAGTACCACAAACATTCAGGCCCGAGACAAAATAGAAAAGTTTATTTTCTATATTAACCCGGCTGGGTATGGGTCCCGGGACCTCCGAGACGGCGACACCATGAAACCCGGTGTGCAAGCCACTCGACCACCGAGGTCGTCAAAAAAATTACTTACTAATACGTCGGGAAAAATATTTGTATGGCCTTCATTTATTTCTCTCGTGAGTTTGGATGTAATTTGTGGGTGTCTGTGACGATGCGACCTCCTCCATCGTCATCACGCCTTTTTATCAAGTTTGCTCTAGATCCTGGCCACTTATTTTCAAATTGTGAACCGTTCTTTAATTCCTTTAGCTCATCATGATCACTTTGTTTCGTACTGTCGTCACTCTCTACTTAATGCCTGAAGCGAGCACTCCTGCTCGTCTTCACCACTAATTTTGGTACGTTTACCAGTTTCCGATGTAAATCATAGTAACCTATCTAATATATTTAAAATCTTGACGTCGAGTTGCGGACACCAGCCCGTTACACCAAGTACCAAGTATATTTAAAATCAAGTAACCTAACCAATATTTGTAAAAATACGGCCTGTTCGGGGTACTTTACTGTCTCACACATGTTTCGTAGTATTTAAGTAGGGAGTGTTTTCTATTATTGTACCTGTTTTTTGTATACTATTTTTATTGTTACAGCCTTTCTTACTTTCTTCATCTTTACTTTATACTATAAACTCATGTGAACCAAGTAATCTATTATTATTGCTCCCTATTGGCGGTTTACAACCTTTTCATTAACTTTTGTAAATAGGTTCTGGGTAGTGGTAATGGGCCCCAGAGTTAATTCCGTTACTCTGGTACTCATTGTACCTACAGGGAATTTCTGTCACGTGTACCTAACGGATGGAAGCTTGGAGATCTATCACAAATCTAGTTACCTAATACGGCGTCCAGTCGCGCGCTGAAGTTACTTACGTTTTAGCTTTCTTTATTTGGTATTAAATTTATAACTATAGAAGATTCCTTTCGTTTAATAAGAATAACATATGTACTTTCATCTTTCCCATCGTGTCAAAATATTGTGGAAATACCCTACATTGTGTAATATGTCAGAAACATTTGATCAAACTAAGGTGAAGTTTGGTGAAACAAGAATGTGATCATCCCGGTATCCACTCAAAATCAATCTCATTATAACACGAATCTTTATAATTATTAATCTCATTTTCACATTATCCAAATTACCATCAAAAAGTTACGAAGCTGTACATCGAGGCAATAAAAATGTGTTCAAAACATTGTCATCCCTCTCATGCAAAATAATCGATTACCACCCCTTACACTGAGTCAGCTGTGACTTGTAGCCGTCCATCGACCTCTCACATATAAACGAAACTGCGATCTGTATAACATTGTCGAGGTACGACACGAGCAGGTATAAAATTTGGAAGTTGAGAACTAAATTGAATAAACGCGCTTAAATACAAAAACTGTATTTGAAAAGTTAATTGTCTCTCGCTCGTTTACTCGACTTATACCATGGAAAATTTATCATTGCACGGTAGTTGATTGTTATGTATTTTAGGCTTGGATTTTAAGCTTGAAACACGCAGAGAGCTGGTGTGGGTCGGGCGCGTGTCGGGTCGGGACTGCGGCGGGTCTAATTCCGTGTATTTATATGGACAACACACCGAGCGCCATAGAATTACGCGGAATTAGACCCACCGCGGTTCTAACCCGACCCGCGCCCGATCCGCATCCGCTCTGTTCGTAACTGTGTAAACATCTTCACATCCTTGAAACATAAATCTTTCAATAATTTACGCTCGGACAAGATGTCGGAAATTTTATAATAAGTCGCTGGATCGCAATATAATCTCACCTGCATTTTTTCTCATATTCGTTCTGGAGCCTGCCCGACTGTGTCGACTTCAGGCTCGGCCGAGTGATTTTATATGTGCACTTCTCATTCATCCGTCATTTTTATTATTGACTGTTTTGTGTCATGTTGGAGTCTACTGGTGACTGATTGTGACGGTGGACCTTTGGAGCTCCGAAAAGTAGGCAAATAATAGCTAGCGGTGACGTCATCCACCATATCATATGAGGAGCCGAATACAAGAAAATTAAAGGTAGGTGGGTTTAAATGGTCATCCGAGACCAAAAATATTACTATTTATATTTTGTCCAAGCGGCTAAAATTACAGTCCACTTTTCATCTATTCTTATTCTAACTTACAATTTTCGTCAACACGCTCTCTGTGTGTTTCACGCTTTATTACTTTAGACCTTTTAGACAATGGTAGCTATTTTATGTTACCTATTCTTATGTGTGATTCGGTGAAAATCAATGTCGAATTTATTTAAATAAAAAAACTAATTGTGATTTATGTAAACTCTATTATATTATAATAGACACAAACAAACAAATACCCAAGTTAGTGTAATAAACACTTAAAAAAGGTTAAATAATATATAAATCATTTTAAATCTTTGGTAAATAATAAGGACCTATAGATACAACCACATTTTATCGACTGCCATTTTTCAAGTAAATGAAAAACAAGATGAATAATATTTTTTTAAGCAATTGTAGTAAATGTCTTATATATGCTAATTAATAAATAAAAAGTAGGTAAGTCTCGCTGGAATTCTTGTAAGCAGTCTAAAGTACAAAATTAATACAACATTTGCTTCAATGTACAATAATATACCATTATTTTCAAATTAGTCGGACGGACTTTACTTATAGTTTGATATTTTGACAAAAACTGACGACAATAACCTTAAAATTATTGCATTCCACGCAAAATACAAAGCGACTATGACACACTTTAAATTACTATTACCCACCCAACTCGTGGAAGTATTGTTTGCAGAAATTGAATAGAACTTTGTTCCACAAATAACCCTTTCATTAAGAAAATTGTTGATTATGAAGGTTATTTGTAAAATATTAACAACAGCACAGGACAGTATATTACTAACGTCATAATCAACAACTTTTGTTCCATGACTTTTTGCACAACATTTTCACCAAAAATAAACTTACGAGTTTTTGTTGTGCCATCTGACACTTTTTAGATCTCCTTGTGAAAGAGTTCGTCCAGGGAAGTACTGCCAAGCACTTATTTCTGCCGCCAGGCACTAATGTGAGCGTTACTGCGTTCGTTTGGAAGGGTAAGGGTGCTGTAGGGCTAGCACAATAGGGCGCGGCTAGCACGAGAGCGACATAAGACCGAGATACTGTTATTCTCGCATAGAAATCCAGCGCTTTATGTCGCTCTCGCGCAAGTCGCGCTCGGTCGTGCTAGCCCTACTGGTGGAATTACAGGCATATCAGACTTGTCAACTTATGTCACAACGTGACGGGCGCAGTGGCAATGCCCCTCAGTTCTTTACGATTTAAAGCTCTGAATTGCACTGCAACTTGGTATCATGATGGTCCTATGAGAATGTTAGTATTTTAAAAATAACTCCCGAGTCTGTAAAATGTTTCTGTACAATAATTATATTTTAAAATAAACTCTTCTGCAATCTTACTTAAATGCAAATCAATACAAATTAAGTTTTGGCAAACAGCATTTTGAAGCACCTTATATATTTTGTTATAAACAATGACGTCATACGGACAGAAGTTTCTCAGAAACAAAATGTTCTGAAGTTACTCTTTAAAAGCTTTGATACAATTGATCACAATAGTGATAAAGTATTTAAAGTGGGTATCATATTATAATTTAGTTAACCCAATGAAAAGGCATTATGACTTTTTCATGAACTACGCCTGACGTGTCCTCTAACGCCTAAGAAGAGCCAACAACGTAAGCCAATAGACATGTCAAAATTGAAAATATAACACTAACAAAAGGTTTATACGCTCCACTATTTCCGCAAACCATTCTTCTGGAAGCAACTGACAATTTTTTTGTTTGTAAAAGACTATGTATGCCCTCTATTTCCCAGCGATTCAGGGATCCTGGTGCTCGTGAGAAGAGGACGGAGTACAGTTGAGGAGAGCGGCCGATGGCGCCTCCTTCTTGACAGAAATTGAGAAGGAGATGGTCATTGACTGCTTTTAAAACTTGCACGGTCCCGCTGAACTGCTGGTAACTCCGGCGATTCGTTAGTGTCCCTATAACATGAATAATTAGCGCGTTCTATTTTTAAATTTGTCATGATTAAAAGTTCTCAGAAAATTAATTTTTAAATTCATGGCAAAACTTTATCCAAGTGTTCTTTCAAGGTTCTGAAATAGAATGTAGGAAGATAGACTACAAACGGTTTTCTGCGTAATATGGTACGCAGAAAACCGTTTGTTATGAGAACATAATTATTTAGTAACGTAACTGCTATTTTGCTTAGAAATAAATTGAAGACGTGGTACCACAGTATTTTATTTTTAATAGAACTAAATGAAGTCTGCAAGGCAGAATGGACAACAGTCATGCGATGCACTTTCAATCTTTTGTGTTTGTTGTACAATTGCAAAGTGAATTCAAGGTTTGAAATAAATTGTTCTCAATGGAATGGACAAGTAATATAAATCACAAAGTTACGTACTATCTACATACGTTAAAAAAAATAAGGTGAACGTACGCGCCACTGATTGTTTTTATTTAATCACTCTTTATTACACCAAAATAACTTACTACATTACGTACGATTTTTTTCCTAAAAAAAATATATATTTTAATTTATCTGCTTAGATTCCACTTCTATTTTTTTATGTATTGTTTTTGTAATAAAGCTAACAAGTTTAATAACGATTAATTATTTATTTAGGGAAATAAATAAAGAGTAAAAATAATTTAATCACTTTACTGTGTTGTGTGAATTCAATTTTTTATAATAAATAATACACTTGTTGTCCGATAGTTTCTGTACCAGAAGGTCGCGCCCGTATGATGATACTATCCATTCTTAAACGCGTTCATCGTCATCATCAAATAAATACTGCCCCCCTTGTCATAACTAATGCATTTGTATTTCAACTTTCGTTATATTGGCCGCTAAAGTTTTATTGTGCCAATTACGCTAATTTTGCTTAACAATAAAACTGAAACTAAACAGTAATTATTTAAAACACCGGTTAGAGTGGATTGTACGTGTGGCGTACTATAAGTTTCCGGAATGAATAAGAAAAAAATATTATAAATGGTCAGAAATGAATTTATTGTTTCTCAAAATATTCACCGTTAGCATTAATGCACTTTTTCATACGAATAAACCAATTTTGAAAACATTTATGCCACTCTTCAGTGACAATCTCTGAAACATATTTTTCATACTCTTCGACAGCCTCTTCAGGTGATGAAAATCGTTTTCACGAGTTAAATCCATGGTGATGTAGACAACCAATTTCTAAAATAACGCCACAATGTAAAAACAAGTGACAGTCAAACTGTATTCTACGTCCAAAGAGTTCCATTTTCAAATGTTGTAATTACTTTTAAAATTTTGTTTATATAAGTGGCCAGTTCCCGAAACTTATAGTGCGCTTTATGTAGATCTCGTTTTGCCGATATCCAGATGTATTAATAACTCAATTTCATTAAAAATGTCGATTACGTTAGTAAGATTAAGATAAATAAGATAAGAAGGGCAGAATGGCTTGGTATTGTCAAGCTTAAGGCTCAATTTATATTACGGCGGAACGAAATGGAAGCGAATTTTTGTAACGATATTGTACATAGTATAATCATCACTGAACATCATATCGGAGGATAGCGTGCTCGATATAACGTGTCCGATATTGTGCCACTGGACTAGAATTCATGTCACCAAGAAGGGCTGGTGATATGAATTCTAATTGTGCATACCTATTGTTAAGTAATTAATAGATTCAGGTGTTACTTTGCGGAAGTCCATGTTAATAAAAATGGAAGTAAATTTATTTGCTACTCCGCGAACCCAGTGAAGGTTAAATCGTGCAAAATAGCTGCATGAAAAAATATTCAACACAAGCGCAACTATTTTGCGCGATTTAACCTTCACTGGGTTCGCGGAGTAGCAAATTAATTTACTTCCATTTTTTTTTTCATACCTATTGTTAATTATAATTATTTTTTTTAAGTGTAGTTTACTAACATAGTCGTAAGTTTAAAATTCTTACTAACAAAGTGGATCAAAGATCTTAAATAAAAAATATTAGTACTATTATCATTGACTTACAAATAAATGGACGACGGGTCTAATACAAAAACCACGAAAAAAATGTCCCAAGTCAACCTATTCGAAATTTAAATTGTTATGTCATCGCAGTATCGCGCTGTCAGTAGAACAAATGAAGACTAAAGCGGAGTGTCGCGCTCTGTATACGATTTTAGCGCCTTACAAGTGCGGACACTTTTTAGCGCGGACCCGACGTCCATATAATTGTAAGTCAATGACTATTATTATTATAATGAACTTTACGGTCAATTGTGTAACGTACAAACAAGATACGAGCGCATGCGCGAGCACTGTCGAGCATGCACGAGAATTCCGCGGAAGATTTAAGGTATATCTATGTATGCTGTGTACAATATCGTTACAAAATTCTCTTCCATTCCGTTCCGCCGCAATGTAAATTGAGCCTTGGTTCTCACAAAAACAGGTGCTCACCGTTTTGGCCATCAAAGACATGCCAGTAGCCAGCGGAATCGTTACGGAAATACAGTGCATATTCTATGGTCTGCCCAGCCTCGTCCCACAAAAGACGCAGGTGGCGATATTCCTGCCGAAACCTCGCGTTTATGTGCTGCACGTGGAATAATTGGTGCTCCGTCGAAGGCTGAAACGAAGAACATAAGATTAGGTATAATAAATCTTAAACTTGATGTAATAAGGCCACATCTGGAAAAGACGACTTTTTAATAAAGAGGTTTAAAGATTCAACGAACAAGTCGATAACTTTTTTATGCTAAGATGGGAGATTTACAAAATTTCACATATTATGGTGGAATATTTTCTTCAAATTGTGAAATCACTAAGAAGCACCTCGTTTCCAACAAAAAAAAGAATCATCGAATCGGTTCACAAATATCGGAGTAATCACGTAACATACATAAAGAAAAATACTTGAATTGAAAACCTCCTTCTGTTTTATGAAGTCGGTTAAAAAGCACTTTTGACTTGTGATAACAGGGCTTATTATACCTAGTGTAAGCAATGGAAGATAGAATAGAGTAGTAACGTACAACTTTTTCTAAAAATCTGTTTTTAATTTTTTTTTTTGAATAATCGAATGCTATTCTAATGTTCTTTTAGATTCCCAAGATAATTCCTATATTCATTCCTAGTTTTAAATTGGTACTTCACAGTTCTTAACAAAAATTTTACGTAGTATCGTCACAAAGATTAACCTTTGCCACGAACCAATTGTAGAAACTAGGTATCTAATCCAGAAACTTCTGAAGATCGTAGAGATAAAGTGGGACAGACAGGTTGACCCTTGACCCCTAATGGCAACGATCCACGTAGGCGAGCTGACATCAGGGTCACTATCACATTGGCTCAAGGCATAGCATAAATTGGTTTACTAATAATCTGATTCATCTAGAACAGGAGAATTAAACAGGCGCAGCCACCTTATGAAGAGTAATTGGATATTATGAATCAGACTCTACCTAGACGATCGGCGCAATAGCAGTTGATCTCCTTGCGAAAGAGTTCGTCCGGGGAAGTACTGCCACCTAAACTATTTCTGCCGCCAAGCAGTAATGTCAGCATTATTGACTTGACGTTCCGGTTTTGAAGGGTACCTAAGGGTGCTGGTCAAATTACGGGCACATGGGACTTACCAACTTATGTCTCAGGGTGACGGGTGCAGTAACAGTGCCCCTCAGATCTTTGCGATTTAAAGTTCTGTGTGGCACTGCGACTGTTATGGACAGGCGTGAAGCTTACCATTAGGCGTACGACTTGTTCGTCCCGTCACTTGTTATTAGAAAAAAAAATCGACGCACCCAAGTGGAAAGCCCAATAGTTATGATTAGTTAAAATTTTTTTGTAAGGTGATATTTCTTTTCTATAACTAATAATATCATTTCGCCAAAATTAAAGTTGATACGAACCTGTCAAGACGTACCTACCTGTATGATACAAATCATGAATAAAAGCGAAACAATATCCGACATGACAATGAATACAACGTTGCTGACCGATTTTTGGAAATTCATTGTCTTTTTTGTTACATTTCATTTTATTTCAGCATTATGAAGGAAATCCTTATTTTGCACCTGATTTCTTTCATAACGACAATAAATTTTGTAACAAAGTGAAGCTCTACATAAAAGAAATAAACGGGTATGTATGTAGTTAGTCATGACTGATGACCCCTATGCCTACAGTTGAATAGACCTGACGGTGGAAAGCTTCGTCCCTCACTGCGCGTACTACGTTACTCGTAGAAAGAGTTCGTCCAGGGCAGTACTGCCACCTTACCTATTTCTGTCACTAAGCAGTAAAGTGAGCATTACTGCGTTCCGGTGTAGAAGGGTAATGGTGCTGGTGAAATTACAGGCACATGGGACTTTTTTACTTATGTCTCAGGGTGACGGTCGCAGTAGCAGTGCCCCTCAGATCTTTGCGATTTAAAAGCACTGAGTGGCACTGCAATTGTTATGGACAGGCGTGTCGCTTACCACCAGGCGCACGATTTATTCGTCCCGTCACTTAGTATTATAAAAAAAAGTAATAATATAATGTAACACAAGTTAAAATATTAAAATTTTAATTGCCAATCCTATAGAACTGTAGATCCTACAGAGAGTAGAGAACTGTGTCCATATATTTATTTACATTTCGGAGACCAAAAAGACGTTTATATCTTTCGATTTACTTTTGTAGCAATGATTCACTGTAAGAATGCGATGTTTATTAATTAAAGCGATAACTACCTACCGCATGATCGCGTATCCCGGCACGACCGCAATAAAGACTCAATATATGTGGAACAACCTATTGTGATATCTCATACTAAAAAGTTTGTGATTAAGTCGATATCTTTATATGCCTGAACGAAAAGAATGTATTATAATAGTCATGATTCATTAATTTCGGGCATGATTCGTTCATTTTTGTAACAATAAGACAATGATATCTCTCTGCGCTTGATTGCATGGAATGTTCTTATTCGCAAAATAAAACGCAATTGCGAATTTCATTTTTTTCCATTTCATTTTTAGAATAACTAAAGTGTTAAATAAGTAATTAAATGAAGATCTTAACAGCCTTGTTTATTAGTAGGTGTTAAGATCATTGGCAATTTATTAATTAAATTAATTAAAAGAAAAAAAAGAACATATCAACAAAAATGCAACAGATATAATTTGTTGTTTGTTATAACTAAAGCATTCTATGGTTAGGACAAAATGGGAAGTTCCCTCATAATTTTATGATATTCTTCTGCCCTCTCCCCTCTTCACGTGACATCGTAAGTTATATTTATGAAAGTTAATGTATAACCTAATAACAATTTAATACAACTATTGAAACAAATGTCGCGAAAATTATAGGAGATCAACATTTCTTCATTTTGTATACGTATTTCTACTTAAGGTGTCTACTGACATTTGTCAGTTGTACCTGGGATTAACGACTCAAAGACCTAAATATTTTTTTATTACCGATATTGCGACCGCTATTTCGGTTTGACTTTAAGTGTAGTCACTCTTCAGATTTAAATCAATCTGACATAATTTGGAAATGAAACTATTTTTCGAGCCTAAATGGCGTACGTATACGTGTTTTCTTTAACCAACGTTTTGGGCTCTTTACAAATACCATGGCAATAGTCAGCCGTAGTGTTGGATCATGGAAAAATTTCTATTTCGAAAAAAACATATTTTTCAGAAAAATTAATATTTTTCCGGATATTTTTCAATATTTTTCCTATAATTTTCCACATCTGACGGTGACACCAGTTAAAATTTGAAATTACAGAAGGAAAACGATGGGGCCATTAAAAAGGTTTTTTCGCTGTTGTGAAATCATTTTAAAACTCATTTTTCTCTATGTGGTTTTAGACAAGTTTTATTTTATAATTCACGCTAAATAACTTGAAAAAAAATTCTAAAACATATGAGCCTTCGAAATTATATTTTTCCAATTAACCAGGATTTTTTCCATAAACATTTCCACTAAATTAAATTTTTCGTAAAATTACCCAACAGCCGTCAGCCGAGAACATGGGACCTCTAAAGAGCCCAAAACGTTTGGTAGTTTGAAAAAACAGGTTTACACAATTTAGTTTTTAGCGAATTACCTGCATCAATAAACAAAATAAGTGAGGAATTTATCTGTAATTATTTAAATAACACTATAGATCGTATATCAGAAACATTAAAAAAAAACTGAAGACAAACTTTATTTTGTAATTTGCGTTTTGTAAATTTTTAAAAAATTTTGTAAATTGTTATTGTGTGCAATTTAGCAAATTTTGTACCTGTCTTATAGTAAATTAAGTTAGTTTTTGTAAAACATGACAGCACATCCTTAATTTTCATTATATTTTTTTATTAAATTTATCTGAACTCCTTCGCCATGGATAAAGCCGGAATAGCTTTTGTGAGCGATATTTGTAACTATAGTCAATAAATTGTTTTTCTGTATTTTGATCAATAAATTTAAAAAAAATGTTATGAAAAAACTGTTTCAATCCCAATGTGTAAATGCAAACGCGAAAACCTGAGAACTGGGATAAATACGTCTATAAGCAAGTCGTACAACGTATATACGTCGAGTACTGCACACTCCGCAGTGATGCCGTGAAAAAAGTATTTTCTCGGCATCATATTCAATACTTTTTACTTTAATATTAAAAAAGACAGCTTGGAGAGCAGGGAATAGGCAGCGGCATAGGGAAACGCTTATTTTTACAAATATAATATAATTTCACAGACCACGTTCTAGAGCACAGAAAGCAATGACTATAAAAAAACATACCTACGTCAAAGCATAAAAAATAAACGTAATTAAATCATATTATATATTTATGCAACAAAGATGTTTATTATGTACTAGCCTCATTTATCGAAAATAACAATATCAAGCTTTAATATATGTGCCGATTTATAATAGCTACACAACCTACCATATAATTTTTCATCCAAATTCATAATCTGTAACCAACTTTTCCAACCCTTTCATTGGCTAAACGTGAAGGCAACGCCATTAATACTAAAAAAAATATATATAAAAAGATCTGTCGCCAACTAATAGTGTAATATAAATATAACGTTATTGCATTATATTTGTAACCTACCCAGGAACATTTAAGTATATTTCTGTACTCTACCGAACTGTGTACGTACTAACATCGAAATGAATGATATATGTAGATAAATAGTTGATGTAATGATTTTTCCAATAGAATTTGACACCTTCCCATCAGTAGGGTGACGCTCTCGAATACTGACCTCGATGCCCTGAGGAAATCAGGAAGTGGGGGTCTCAAATGCTGTATTCATTCACATGGTTCGTTATTTGAGTTTGAAATTGTGGCATATTAAAAGAGGATGTTATTTTTTAAGAATGTTATCTATTTATTGCATTCCATAAATATTATTCAAATTCCTCTTTGGGACCTCAAGATATACTTAAATTTATTTTTACAATTGTGTCTGTAATTTAAGACCGTAAAATAAATATTTTTCTGTTATTTGTATTCGATTTACTTTGGAACATCTGATGTGGGTTTTGTACAAGCTGCGAAGTTTTTCCTCCAAGTTTGGAAAGTTCTGGAACATGAGTTATTTGTTCCAATATCAATGCCGCGTTTTTATTAAAACAAATAACCGTGAGAGGTTTCGGATTGTCAACAGTTGGAAGGTAAGTTATATTATCTTGAGATAAGTATTACTTAGTATAATACGGAGAAAGCGTCACTAGCTGCAAAGGCTACGTGTCTGTTGAGATTTCGGAACAATCAATTTTTCTTTTTTTTTATTGTTATTATTGCACAGGAAAAAGCACAGAATACATTTAATAAAAGGAAAACACAAACAAAAGGTTCTGCTTATTTCTGTAAGAAATTTCTTCCTGCAGACCTAAATACAGGACAAAATAATTCTTTTTGTGAAATTACTTTACTAGTTTGTTATAATTATGAACACAAAGAAAATTCATTAGATCCGATTGAACTTGAACCAGAGCTTTTATACCGTGACTTTACCATATAATCAAATACTTTTTTGTAAATCAAGTTATTAGTAACATGCTTAAATAGCGTTTAACCGGTTACTATACCGAAGTAAAGGTAGACAACAGTTATTTTTGAAAACGCATCTACTGCTGCTCTACAGAGCAGGCTAGTTTTCGCAATTAGATGTCTGTATAATTTTTTTATTAGTGGATTTGACAACTTGTAACTACTTTTCCTATTTAGTACAGCCAATGTAGTAAAAGTTGACCGATGTTGAGACAACATGGTGAAATGGGGATATATTAAACCCGCCTCAAAACCAATGTGCTTGCGGATCCCCCACAAAGTATTTTTTTTTTATAATATCAAATGACGGGTCGAAAAAGTCGTGCGCCTGATGGTCCATAACAGTTGCAGTGCCATTCAGAGCTTTAAGTCGCAAACATCTGAGGGGCACCGCCACTGTGCCCGTCACCCTGAGACATAAGTTGACAAGTTACATGTGCCTGTAATTTCACCAGCACCCTTACCCTTCAAAACCGGAACACAGTAATGCTGACATTACTTCTTGGTGGCAGAAATTGGTAAGGTGGCAATACTTCCCTGAACGAACTCTATTACTATTTGCTCTCATGCCCACTGTCTCCGACCAATTGCACCTGCTAAGACCTGCTAAAGGTAACAGATAGGGGCACAGAGGTAGCTGCTTACTAGACCAGAGAAATATAACACTAGTTTGCTATTTTATTGGTTTTTGTCATTGACTCCACAAGAAGAAGAAGAAATAAAAGCTACCTACCCCGAACGTTGTAGTTGGGAAGTCATCATGTTCCCAAAGTTTGACGCTAGGGCATGTATTATAACGATAGACGCCTTCCTTGTTTAAATGCATGTACACCTCAACAGCAGTCCATTTCCCCATCAGCTGTTCTATATCTATGGCATCATAGTCGTGAACTGTTTCGCATGTCACTGTTATATTCCCGTCCGTTGTGTTCGTAATTTCAAAAGCTGAAGTTACGAAAAAATGGAACGACAACACAGCGATCGTTCGAAGTTCCATTTTTAAATTCAAATTTAATTAATAGATTTTTAATCACCACTTTATCTTAACATGCTTTTTAAAATTTCATTAAATCGAACGTTCGATTTTAGGTTTAATATGAGCGCGCGCGCATAAACATTGCACGTTAGGAGACGACTGAGAGCGGAGCATTCGCCTGAGTCAACTCTATGATTCACCCTTGCGATGTTATCACTTGACCCCGTAACTATATCTTCGGATCTCCCAGGATTCTTGGCATATGTGGTTAATACGCGGATTATACTTCAATTTTAAATATCCAAATAAGTCGCAATGCATTGCTGACTCGGCTGCGCCTCATCGCCAAAGATTCAACAAATTTCATGTAGTTACCCATACGTGTATAAATGTACAACAAATGATAAAATATGTCATATGTAATAATATTGGGTACAAGTTATATATACTCGTTTATTTTAGTCATTCGGGAACGTGGAAGTATGATCTTACCTATTAGCTCTGCATATCTACCTTAAAATTTGTCGTGTAACTACATATAAAGTTTAACACAAAGTTTCAAGCGCTTTCAAGGTTGAGATTAACAAACTTTGATTTCGATTAAGCAAATATTTCATACTTGCAATACGAGCTTTGTCTTAGTTGCAGCATGAAATTATGAAGTAAATTCAAAGTTTAATTTAATTTCTTGCTTAAATTTAGGCAAAATTTGGTTTGTAAATACAAAAACTTTATTAAATCGCAATTTTTGCTTAGACAAAGTCAACGTTCGCGTTTCAGCTCAGATGACACTTGCTTAAACTTATGAGATTTAAGTTTAAGCAAGTGTCATCTGAGCTGAAACTGGTTGTGAAATTTGTGAAAATTATAATTGTTAATATGTTATATTCAACCATGCTTTCCGACCCATTTACTATTTTAATGTTTATTTACGAACGTCTTACCATTAACTGTTTTGATGTAATTCTCCCCATAACTTCCGCTGAAAGGTTACCGTGCTGGTCTGTCACGCAGAGTTTGATTCCCAACCGGGAGAAATATTTTTACGGCCTACATTTATTTGACTCGTGAGTTTGGGTATAATTTGTGGTTGTGTATGTGTGTGTCCATGACACGTGCGACACAGGGTTTACCTAGTGCGGGGCTATGAGTGTGTGCGTTATTATTATTACTATCAATAAAATTTTATAGAATACACACTTTATTACCTACATAATATGAAGGTATAATATTTCTATTTTTTTATTTAAGCTTTATTAAACACAAAGTAGTAAAAATGGCGGACTTAATGCCGTTAGGCATTCTCTACCAATCAACCGGAGAGCTGAGTTCAGAATAAATAATAGGAGTGCATATCATGATAAATAAAAACAGAATATATAATCCAAATTTATGAATAACTATGATACATTATTTACACGTAATATAAAATATACATACGATGTAACTATAATACATGACTGAATATATTATAGTTACGTTTATATATATGTATATATAAATGTCACACTAACGTGTACCAGACTGGGTCTCCAACAAGAAGTTGCAGACTAATTGTTTGAAAGCTAGCTTATTAGGCGCATTTTGAATAGGGGGTGGCAGAGCTTCCAAAGTCGTAATGCCTGAAGTTTAAATGAGTTGAAAACAAAACCAGTATGGTGAGGAGGAATGAGAAGAGTCAAATTGCTATTTGAGCGAAGATTGTGGTTATGGGATGCACCCAAATATTGAAACTTACATTTCAAATACCGTACTGTATTACAATATTAGTTTATTTATTTAACAACATTAGGTATCAAATATGCACAGTATCATAAAAACCATAACTGGTTTGACTCGATACTGTCGACTTCATCTCTAACCACAATAGGACTCACACTCCAGCAAAAAGTTCTTATCTACACACTCACCATTACATTTTTAAATAGATTTACTAAATTGCTTCACAAATACTGACATTTTTAAAAATATGTACAAGTCAAGAGCACATCAAGATTCACACATTGCTAATTGTAGTTATCCTTATTATTATTGTAGACATAGAATTTAAATCTAAAGTATCAAACCTAACGTGATCTTAACCCTATATTTATATTATACTTTCTTACCCTGTCCATGGGTTCGGAAATATGTATCACTATGCAGCTGTCCCTGCGGTCGAACCAGGGGTCTGCGCCCAAATGCTGCACGAGTTCCACTCCATACCACATGCCCATAAGGCTGTCAATCCAGATTCCAGTCTGCGGAGATCTATTCACGCAACTTCCAATATCTCTTACAAACGGTGCCTCATAAGAACTGTATCCCCCCGTTCCATACCCTGCACCGTACCCTGTACCGTACCCGTTACCTAACCCCGAGCCATAACCGACAGAACCATAGCCAACAGTACCGTATCCTGTCCCCAAACCTGACCCTAACCCATTCCCTAAACCCACCCCGAAACTGGAACCATATCCTGACGTACCATACCCCGGCGTACCATACCCCGGCGTACCATACCCCGGCGTACCATACCCCGGCGTACCATACCCCGACGTACCATACCCCGACGTACCATACCCCGACG